ATTACGATAGAAATATGAAAGACTCCTACATTGACGGTGGTGGCCTTTGGTTATACCCTGCTCTATAGTGCTAAGAACAGTGTGCTGAGCTGCCCAGTCCGTCAAAAGGCTGTTGCTTTTGCAATATAACAGTGTGGTGGATGTGGTGGGTGGGACACTGACAGTGGGACTAGCTTCTCAAGGCTGAGCAGGAGCAATCTTGATTCGTTGATCTCAACCAGTAATTCTCAACCAGGGTCCATTTGTCTGGCAAGCAACCATTTAGTAATGTCTACAGACATTGTTGATCTTCACGACTGGGGGTGGAGGGGAGTATTGCTGGCATCCCATGAATAGAAGCCAGGGACGGGGCAAAGATGCATAGTATGATTCCTGTGACAAAGTTATCAGGTCTGAAACACTGATAGCACTGTGTTCAGAAACAATGTTGTAGCCATTGCAAGAGACTCAAGAAAGAGTACTTACAATTATGAATGCAGACTGTATTGTCTGGTGATTCTACCCCCAGTCTTCTGCCAGCCCAGGTAGAATTAATTCACTATTGGTGAAAGGCCCAGGTGCATTAGTCCACCCTGCTGGTGCCAAGGAGGTGCCCGGTGCGTACCACAGGATGGACACAACAGTCTCAGAGTGGCCACCTCACATCTGTCACTGGTAATCTTGCAGGCCCTGCTTTCTTACAAAGATTACACTGTTGTTGAGGCTGTCTTTCCCTACTGGTGCCATCTGCTTCAGCACGTTTTCAGCCATTAGAGTTAGGATCACCAATTTGTTGAGACTTTTTTATTTCTGTATCTTTTATTCGCTTTCACTGTTGTGCTGGCTGCTTACAAGACTTGGCTTTGTCTGACTTTGGAGGAGGCTGTTTCTCTCATGGTTTTGCTACCTGTTGGTTCTCTAGTAAACCATGACAGCTGTCCTCTAAACTGAGCTGTGTTCCAGTCAAGTATGAACAGGCACGTTTTTCTTGTCTTCCTGTGGTTTCATTTTTCTGCTTGTCTGCCTAGCCTAAGCCTGTGTCGGGAACTGCAGGGCGTCTCATATCTCAGGCTAGGAAATGGTTGATTGCATGTTTCTTAGAGACAGCTGGGTACTTTACAGGATGAGTCCTCACCCCTGACACCAGGACAATTCTCTTTCACATCACCTAGGCAGATGGAAAATGTAGAAATTAATAATTGATTAGATGAATGTACTTGCTGGTCTTACACTGAGTGGTACTTGTGTGTTTTGTTCAAAAGCATGTCAACGCCACTCCTAGCTGGGAGCTGTTGGCCGGTCCTGTGACTGGGGGAGGGGTCATTCTTCTTCAGTGGTGTAGCAACTGGTAAGCTGCCATGTTCCTAAGTAGCTTCACACCCATACTCTCGCAGGCAATCCTAATTAAACCCAGGGGTTCCTAAAACAACAACAAAATAGACCACATTTGAATAGAGAGGACTTTTCCGGGAGGAGGAAGGGGTCTAGAGGGAGTGGGAGGGGTGAGGGAGAATAATGGATGTTGAATATGATCAGAAAACATATGCATGCACATAACTGTCGAAGTTTAAAACTATCTTTTAAGAAGTTAACATTGATTAAAAAAAAAAAAAAAAAAAGCTCAATGGTGAGCCAGGAGTTAAAACTTAGGAGGAAGAGAAATTGGACTGAGAAATGAGTGAGACACGCCTTGATCTCAGTCTTTCGCTTTAAGAACCTGCTCATCGTATAGATTGATGTTCAGATAATGGACTGCAGAAGTAATGTTCGCTTCAATGATTTTCATGTGATCTGTAGGATGCAGAGGTTCTATTTGCATTTATCTTCATAATTAAGTTTATCGACAGCCTGTGGTTAGTGCTGGAGAGAAGAAATCAGAATGTATTCTGAAATAGGCGACTGTCCTCTGAGAGCAGAGGAAGTGGAGAGTCTTTCTGGCTCTTGGTTAGATAAAACTGTGGCCATGAGCAGCAGGTAGGAAATGATAGCGGGACCCTCCCGTCTAATCTAGTTTCCTTAAGTGTGAGGAGCAGTGAGCTGCATCTGCTGAGTGGTGGATTATGGGAGGTTCCGTTGCAATGGCTTCAGCTGAAGAGTTATGGCAGTTCATCTGTCTCGAATTGTCTGAATTTATCCCTCAGGATTAAGTCAGTTTGTCAAATCACAAGCATGCTGCTGTCGGGAATTGCAAACACTTAGTATGCTTTGAAATGTTACATAAAATGATTTTAAAATGTCATTTACCTCCTTGATCTTGGTTTTAGGATGTAGTTCTTGCAAAAATTCCTTCTCTGAACCTCACAACTGAGTGACTAGTTGCAAAGACAAAGCAAATAGACCAAAATTCACCTTTTGAAGGAGGTGAATTGTTGATCTCAGTGTCTTGTAATTTCATGTAATATTTTTGATGCATTTTAGCATGTAATGTTAGTGTGGTTCTGAAAGACTGAATAAGAATATTAGAAACAAGATTAAAAGGGTTACTGCAAGTTGACGTTCAGTATGAGGATGTTGCCCAGCATTCCCTTAGGCCCAGTGTCCAATCTCTAGGACCACAAAATAAATCAATATATAAAGCAGAACCTACCATTGTTGTAGTCTCCTGAAAGAGCTCGACCTATAGGGACTTCCCACTGTGCATTTTTCCTCATGTAAGGTTTCCCCTTTTCCTAATATAACTTCTTAGATCTTCATTAGAGTACCTACCCTAATAAAATAAATATTCTTTGTCTTAGAAATGAAGTCATTTGATAGCTCTGTGGAACATACTTTAACGTTAGTCAAACCCTCTGTTTCCTTTCTAATGGATGCTCTAAAGGCAAGTGCTTTAGTTATAGATTTAAGGGCATAAATCTAAATGTCTAAACTATATTGTGTATCATAGACCACTTTGATTTTCTTTTTCCATTGACAAGTCTTTTCAGAAAATACTGAGTTTTAGAAAACTGCTGTTGCTCCTTGTATTGCTAAAACCAGGACTGTATCTAATCTGGACTTTGTGAAACCCAGAGTGAGTAAGAAGAGACCAGACCTGGCTATCAGTCAGCACCGGGTGTGTGTTCGGAGGAAGGTCTGTGGGCAAATCGGGTTGCTATGGAGAAAACAGTAGTGATAAATTCACCATGAAGACAATAGGATTTCACCATTCGTCTCAGACAGGAAAGGCTGCTTCTTTTTAGTGTTATCTATGTAGAGGGTGAGTTTCTCTAAGTAAAGAAATTGTATTACATATTTTGTAACATGGGGTATTTTTTTTCCTGTTAAGTAATAAGGTTATTATATTTGGTTCTAAACTTAGAAGTTAATGACATTGGAAACAATGCAGAATGTATGTTTATAAATGTGTTTTCATGGATGACTGATAATGAATTAAGCCTTTTAGAAGTGTGTGTGTGTGTGTGTGTGTGTGTGTGTGTGTGCTTATGGAGGTGAGAGGATGACCGTGAATGTCTTTTCTCAATTGCTCTCTACCTTTATCTTTTGAGACTTAGATGGAAACTCATGGATTCAACTAGACTGGCTGACCAATGACCCTCAGTGATCCACCTCTTCTGTCCTACATCAGCAATGGGCTTACATGTGTGCTCTGCCATATGCAGCTTTTTATAAAGGTTCTGGGGATCTGAACTCAGATCCCCATGTTTTCGAGCAGGCACTCTACCAATTGAGTTTTCTCCCTAGCTTCATTTTCATGCCATTACAATTAAATGGTCTCTGGAATCTTTTAGAGGCTACACTGAGCACTTAGGCGGAAGATGGGTAGAGTAGAGGAGCTTCTTATAGTCTCAGGGTCTGTCCCCAACCACTAGCTTCTTTATATTTCTCTCCAGTAGTGTGTGGCCAGCTGTTAAATAAACAGTTTGAGGCAGAGAAAGCAAACCTTGCTGACCCTTCTTAAAGGTGAGATGTAACTGTCACTGTAGCCTGTCAATGCAAATTGAGGCCTGTGAGGAAGTGCAATGTGACCCTGAGGCTATTTTTAGAGATGAGCTATCATAACAGTATACCTTAAAGGATTCCATCATAGACAGTTTATGTCACTTAGACGCTGGTTAGTTTCACTTTCGACTTGGGATGGTCATACATACTAACCTACTGTCTGTGGGTAAGATGTAGTGAGCCAGGACTGTGTGGTAGTGGTTGCCACTGTGAGCACCCAGCTGTCCACCTTGTCATCAGAACGAGGTCAGGCAGTTTGAATTCTTTTGGTGAGGCAGGGATGTTAGGTCTTCAGAGAAAGTGAGGCTTCCCTGGGCCAGAATGGTTCTGTCCACTCACCTCCTATCTTTGGGTGGGATAGGCAAGTCTCAAGCACTGAGGGAAAGGAAGAAACCTTCCCAGGCTGGTGACTCTTTTACCATAAAGGGAGCTTCAGTCCTTCTTTCTGGTTGTATCACTGTACTTGCTGGTTTTGTGTGTCAGCTTGACACAAGCTAGAGTCATCAGAGAGGAAGGAGCCTCAGCGGAGGAAATGCCTCCATGAGATCTGGCTGTAGGGCATTTTCTCAATTAGTGATCAGTGGAGGAGAGCCCAGCCCATGGTGGGTGGTGCCATCTTTGGGCTGGTGGTCCTGGGTTCTATAAGAAAGCAGGCTGAGCAAGCCAGAGGAGCAAGCCACTAAGCAGAACTCTATAGCCTCTATATCAATCAGCTCCTGCCTCCAGGTTCCAGCCCTGCTTGAGTTCTTATCCTCCAGTGATAGACTATGATGTGGAAGTGTAAGCCAGAAAAACCCTTTCCTCCCCAACTTGATTTTTGGTCGTGGTGTTTTGTTGCAGCAATAGAAACCCTAACTAGGTAGTCATATTCACAGAATGTCCATAATAGTGTGAGCAGTAACTGTAGCGATTCTCAAGTTTAATTTCTGTGAACTTCGTCTTTTCTTACCTCCTCTGTTATAGCCCTTAGCTAGCTGGAGCTAGCATTCTACTTTTTCTCATAAGGTCCCCCTGAAACTGATACTCATTTTGAGGATACTGCCTGTGATTGCCACCATTTTATTGGCCCTGACTTTCATCAGGCTTTTGTTGCAGAACGTGCCAATAGAAGCCTTCACCAACTGAAATGTGCCCTGAGAGAAGCTGATGTCAATGTGGAAGAAGATGCTCTGGATCCTTCCCCCAGCGTCAACATAGAAAATGAGGACACCGGGGTGGCCTGGCACGAGCTGCAGCACAGCCATGCTGGTGAGTGTGACTGTCACTCTGAGCATGAGTGGCACATCGTGGATTCTCCCAGCTCCACAGAGTTCAGTTGGCCACTCTACTGCTAAGTTTCTTTCGCTGTGTGACAAAAGAGTGATATAATTCCTTCACTTACCTTTTTTCCTTTGACTTCCCAAATCCTACAGACTTAAGTCCAAAATCGTTGGGACGAAATAACAACATTTTCCTAACCTACTTCTCCAGTCAGGTTTTTCCATGCTGTCCTCTTAACCACCTTTTCACGGGCCTCATCTGAACCATCTGTCTTAGAAAGCAGCCATCTCTTAGCAACCCCTGACTGTGCATCCATAGCTTTATACCGCAGTTCCTCCTGACTGTAATTTCTGACACCTCTCCATTCTTTCCCTCGTGCTGAAGTCCTCTTCACTACTGCTGTTAGTGCCTATGTGAAAGCAAGTGCATAATGTTGTGCTCCCTATCCAGGAAGCTTTGTGCACACTCTAGGTTTACATTAAAACCTTATATCTACTGCTCTAACTATTTTGCTTATTAAATTCTTACTTAAAAACTAGTTTTTAAAATTTTCATTCTTTTCTTTGTGTCCTTAGCCAATACAAAGTTCTTATTGCCTAATATTAGTTTAAGCAATATTTGCTGGATTGATGTTTGGTAATAAAATGTTAGTCTACTTTCCATCACTATAACAACATCTTAGATAAACAAACTTATAAAGAATATTGTAGCTGAAGTTTTCCTGGTTCTGCCGGCTCCAGCGACCTTGCGGCTGCTTGGACCCAAGTAAACACACAGAGGCTTATATTAATTAAAACTGCTTGGCCATTAGCTCAGGCTAAACTATTGACTAGCTCTTACACTTAAATTAACCCATGATTCTCTGTGTTTAGCCACATGGCTAATTATCTATGTTTAGCCACATGGCTTGGTACCTTTTCTCAGTTCTGCCTTCAAATCTTGCTTCCTGTGTCTGGCTAGTGACTCCTGACTCTTGCCAGAATTCTCTTCTCTGCTTGTCCCACCTATACTTCCTGCATGGCTACTGACTAATCAGCATTTTATTTATTAACCAATCAGAGCAACACATGCACAACATACAGAGTGATATCCACAGCAGAATATACTTTTTCTTTATGAAACAAGGTCTTCCTATGAATGCCTGGATGGCCAGGAACTCTCTGTGTAGACCAGTCGGGCTTGAACTTGTGGTCATCCCCCTGCCTGTGTCTCCCAAGTGATGATATTACAGGAGTGTGCCAACATACCTTAATGGTTTGTTTTGCTTAATATTTTTTACATGTTTTAGCCCATCTTTGGCCATGTGGTAGGGCAGTTCCTCCAGGTACCTACCTCATTCCAGGAAGGGAAAAAGAGGAAGAAGAGGCAGATCCCAACTTTCCTAGTAACTTGAAGACTTCCCACATTTAATAATTTGATTTAATAATCAAATCCCCACCTCTTCACTAGGTCCCACCTCTTCTAATTGTGTTTATCTCCCATTAATGTTAAATGAGGGGCATTTTGTTTGATGCATGGTCTTTAGGGGACATTTATAACCTAAACTATGCATAACCCATGGGTCTCTAGCAAGGTCAATAAATTCATTGCTTTTGCTCTATAGTCAATCAACTCAAAGCTTTGTTGCGCCAACAAGCAAGTAAGGACAATGAGATGTCTCCACCGCAAAGACGAAAGATGTCCCCTGTGGTAAGTGTCACCCTTTGAAGCCTGACAAAAGCATGGGGTTCCTAGCTTTGCTTTATTTTCCTATGTCATTTTGAGCATGTTGCACACATTCCAGAATATAGTCATAGGAATTTTAATTCCTTCACCTCTGATAGTTTGAACTGAGAGAATCTTGATATTTTTTATTTATTTTTTAGATTCAAAAGTGTAGTCAAGAGAATGGTTTCAGAAATGTTTTTTGCAACTGTTAGTGAATAGATAAAAATGACAGTCAATGCAAAGGCATAATGTTTTAATAATATTTTTTAGAAGTTCATGTCTATATTTAGTCATCTGTAGGTTACTAATTGTAATGTTAGACCCCTTCTTTTGAATGCTCTTTTTTTTTTTAGTGGTACCATTAGTGAGAAATTATCCAGCATTTCTTTGAATTTGTATATTCTTTGAGGAGTTTGTTTTAGTTTGGATATCCATATATTGAACTTAAGAAAATACTAGATCTACTTCCCATCCCACCAATGTCTGAGTTTCACTCTCAGGAGAGCCTTGTTCTTCTGACATGCTCTACTGGCTTATAGTACTGGCTATGAGAGGGTATTTCATGGTGCAGTCTGAAAGGGACTTCTAATTAGCGTGCCTTATAGTTAGTACATATAAATACACAGTGTAGCTTACCACTCTTTTATATATGCTCCTGTAAAGGGACCTGTGCATTTGTAAAGCAATGGTAAATAAATTCTCCTGGTGCATACCTTTCTACCCACCCTGATTTAGTAAGCTCCATAATGCTAGTGCTCAGCTTTGTCTTCAAAGCTAATGAGTGTATCTGAACATGCAACAGCTCTAGCAACTTCCTCTAATTGATTGGAAAGCACTCCATTCACCTTGTGCTTTTAAGAGCATTCTAGAAACCAAAGTCCAGCAGTAGTAAATGCACTGAGTGATAAAATACCTTATTAAAATTGTAATCAATAGCTATAAATATTGAATATGTGAATGAAGTGTATTTCTATGAAGTAAGAATTAAGCATAAAAGTATGTGTTGAGAAGAATGCAGTGCTCCTGGGAGGGAGCCATTATGACACTCTTCCTGTGAGTCAAGGCAAGCCACATGTTTCTAGAGTGCACCATGCAGGCTTTGCGTTCAGTTGTCACACATACTGGAATCGTAAGGTGGCCACTGCTGCTGTGCTTGTTAATATTTATGTCCAACTTCATGGGTTTCTAAAGAGTTCTAAATATATCATCTTCCCTGTGATTACGAAAATTCCAGGACTTAGGCACAGTGTCCTTTTAGCAAGTCTGTGACACGCACCGGGTGGACTTAAGGCCTAGATTATGATTTTGGCCTAGTTCAGAGCTTGTTCTTTTATACGCAGCCCTATTCTTAGGACAGAAAACACTTCAGTCAGGAAAAATGCTCTGTTAAAGCCATAGAAAGTGAGTGAGAAACAGAAATGTTCTCTTTGCAGGCCTTCCTGTCAGGCTGACTGCTGATTCTTACTTCCCTTTTCCTGATTTCTTCTTCCTTAAAATACCAACAGCAGTAGAACTTTTTCTGAAATGTCTTTGTGGGCTCCTTAGGGCAGCTTGTGTCTCTTTTACTGCTTAGCCTTAGAGGATCTGTGCCCAAGAATGCATAGTTTTGAATTGTTGCTAGACTAGTGGCGTGCGTGCATGCGTGCGTGCATGCATGCACACACACACCTCGCACACACTGCACAAGCCTAAAAAATCCACTCAGCAACAACAAAGTGAAACCCCAAGCTCTCGCTTTTCAGTGCGCCCTTTGAAGCAGATTTGCGTCACTGGCATGCGTTTGACGTCCATGTCTGAAGCTCTCACTTGGTGAGCTGATGTGCAGCTGCTGATGGCACTCCTCTTCCAGCAGTGTTTGGAAGAGGACTGTCCCTTATGTCTCAGCATTCCTGAATGGGCTGTCACATTGTTAGGGAGCTAAGCAGGTAGCCATTCCAAGCCGGTTATAGTGCCCTGCTCTGAAAAAGAAACTCCATGTGTCATGTGCTTTTAATAACTGTTTGCTCTCTATCTTTCAAAAATAATATTCATATCCTTATACTTGTGGAATTTATAGAATAAAGACATAAATAGTCTGTGTATTCTGTGATCTAGTACACTGTGATCTAGTCTTTACTTATGTCTCACCAGCACTAAATTGCTTGTAGAGAGGATAACCAGATGATTCTCTGCTAAATGTGAGGCTGCTTAATTTGTCCTTTTTCCCTCAGTGGCCAGAATGTGAGGACAATAGCATGCCTACTGTGCACAACCTCGTTCCTATCATTAATGACCAGTCTCAGTACATTCATCATTTAGAAGCGGAAGTTAAATTCTGCAAGGTAAGTTACTCATTAGGACTTCAATGTCAATTATACCTTATATTGAAGTTTGCTATTCTTAGTTTTCATGTTTAGTGCAATCCACTGAAAAATGACTGTTCTTATGTGGTTCTCTCCATCATGCCATTTCTGATTCTTTAACTCCCAGCAGTCCTTGCTATTTCTCTGTTGAGTGCTGTACATGGTATAGTAAGTAATAGTAACTAAGTTGAGTAGCTGTGCTGGTTAGCTTTGTCAACTTCACACAAATAGAGTCCTCTAGGAAGACGGAACCCTAGTAAGGAATTGCCCTCATCAAATTGACCTGTGAATATGTCTGTGGGGCATTTTCTTATTAATGTTTGGGGTGGGAGGGTCCAGCCCATTGTGGGTGGTGCTATCCCTGAGCAGGTGGTCCTGGGTTGTTTAAGAAAGCAAACCATGTGAATTATGGAGAGCAAGCCAGTAAGTGAGTCCTCTGTGGCTCTGCTCTAGCTCCTGCTTCCAAGTTCCTGCCTGGAGTTCCTTCACTGATGGATATAATCAGGACATGTAAGCTAAATAAACCCTTTCCTCCTACAAGTTGCTTCTGATATTTCCCACACAGCGGAGGCCTAACTAAACAATAAGCCTTTACTGGGAGGCCTTGTTTTTATGACTAGAAGTTAGGCTGTTTTTACAGTTTGCTTTTATTATAAACATCAGGCTAAAATTTCTTCTGTGGTCTTGGAATTGTCTCCTCAGCTGTCTTCACGTTTCCCTAGAGAATCCTTAAGTTCTGTAGGTTGAATTTCTCCACTGTGGTGTGGGAGCCCCATTGCCATGGTAAAGCATGGAGGGGGCAAGGTGCTGTCTAATCCTTGAGTCCCTTTCATGTTTCACTGAATGAGTGACCTGGAGGGGGGCAGTAGAGGGGACTAGGGTTATGTGTGTGTTTATTATCCCACTCCCTTTAGGCTTTAATAAAACCAATGCCGCCGGGCGGTGGTGGCGCACGCCTTTAATCCCAGCACTCGGGAGGCAGAGCCAGGCGGATCTCTGTGAGTTCGAGGCCAGCCTGGACTACCAAGTGAGTCCCAGGAAAGGCGCAAAGCTACACAGAGAAACCCTGTCTCGAAAAACCAAAAAAAAAAAAACCAATGTCTATATGTCCTTGAAAGTGTTCTCGCCTGAGACAGGCCTTGATACAGAGAACACAGGCTCCTGGGCATAGTTTAGAAATGCTGCTTTGCCCCTTCCTGGCATGTGGATTTATTTCTAGTCTTTACTTTGAGAACTTGGTAGTCATGGAATTAAAACTCTGAGGGGGTCCTTGATATCTCTAGTGTTTTTAAATCTTAAACTGATCCACACTGAGCTTTGAACCATTAATCAATTATAATTTGGATTTTCCTTCATAAGTACTGGCTTCTGCAGAGGTTTCTTAGGGGTTTCTGTTCAGGTATTGCAATTCTAAGCATGTTTTCTCCAATTTGGAGGAACAGCTCTCTCTGTGACTTAAGAATTGATTTTCAGATTGCTCAACTTTTTTATTAGAGAGATTGAGTTGATATCCTTCAAGCTCAATTACATGTCAGACTGAAAACTGGACTTTTGAAACTATTGTTCAAATTACAACATTTAATTGCAGGTTTGCTTTTCCCCCCTAAAGAAGGTAAAAGAAATCTGCATATCGCATAATAGCTTTTGATGATAGTAGTAATGAATATTAGGTTAAGCATTCATATATTTGAGATCTTTGTTTTCAGAAAGTGAGGTGCCACTTAGTAGCTATTCAAGTTGTGACTTCCCTAATTCCTCATATTACACACTGCTAGGCCAGTGATGTACTTAAGATAAGAATGCTCAAACTTTAGAGCAGCCTGCTTCATTTGTGGTTCCTCTGGGCACTGGTTCATAGACACTGCACTTTTCTATGTCTTTGTCTTTCCTTCCATTGAGTCCTCAGACGTTATTGGCAAATGACTGATAGTCATTTACTTACTTTTCAGCAGTCTGCCTCATTTAAAAAAAAATCTCTTAGATAACCATTTTAAATAAGACTTTTCTCTGGCCTCGATTTCTTGAAGAAACAAACTTCCAGAAAAAGAATACATTTGTGAAATGGCCATCAGCAGGCCTTCAACTGTCCATCAAGTAACCCAAATACTTGATAATATTCCCTAATGTTGGGTTTCTTTTTTGCCTTAATAAATAGTTGTATGTCAGGAAACTGATAGGATAGGTCTTCCATAGTTTATTTCATGCTGGATTCCATAGTAATTAATAAATATAAATATTGCTTAAAATGCTTTAACGCATTTTGATTTCTGCCTTTTATAGGATGAATTATCTGGAATGAAAAATAGGGTGCAAGTGGTTGTGCTCGAGAATGAAAGGCTCCAGCAAGAACTGAAATCTCAAAGGCAGGAGGAGACACTGAGGGAGCAAACACTCCTGGCCGCATCTGTGAGTGCTGTTTATTACCGTAGTCTTCTATTTTGAATGATTCTTCCTTCCCTTTATTTCAGTTTTTCAACTTTGTCCAACCTTTTGATATAATATTGTCCTCTACAAAGTCCATACTCGAAAACTGTGAAGCTGAGTTACAAAGAAAAAGACAAGACAAAAACGTATGGTTGATTTTGTGTTGGATTACATCCATAGCTATTCTGCACAGGTTGGAATTACTGGGTCCATCTCTTTGTAGTTTGGTGAGAGAGCCATGCTCGCATTTGTGTGGTGCCACAAAAGTTAGAATCAGCTGTGGTGGAGTGGATCTGCAAGTGACAGAGCAGGTGCCTGGAGGTCCCTCCAGTTTCTCCTCTGAGCGTGCTCTTGTACCTTTTCCATATGGAGAGAGGGACCTGCAACCATGGAATGTGTTATGTAGTAGGAACTGTGCTAAAACTAGAAACCCGGCTCTGTTGACCTTCTTAAGCTTTTCTTGAGCTCTAAGATCTTAGTATGATGAGCAGCATTATGTAGTGAAAGAACAAAGTTCTGTGAACCTGAGATTCGAGATTGTTCTTCTGTGGTCCATAAGTTTGAGTTTCTCATAGTATTTAGTAGGTAGTTTAATAAGCCTTGTATGGCTTAACTTCGAGGATAAATAGCTTTTCTATAGGTAATATGAGAAGCTTTACCTACATCAGGGACTACAGTAGGAGATGTTGGGTTCCATTTCCCAAGAGTCTGATTTTCCTGGTCTGCTTGGGTCCTAGGAACATCAATTTCAAGTTGCCTACATGATTCTAGTATCAGTGGCTGAACTTTGAAGAAGAGTGGGTGAAGTTATCTTTAGAATTCTTTGACACAAAGCTCTTGGAATTACATTTAAATTGTGTTTAAATTTAATATCTTATTATTACTTATCACAGATACTTTTGTATTAGAAGTGTTTTACCATGCTTTTACCATGGGACACAGCTGATCATAGCCTGTTCTTTGTGAGACAAATTCTGCCTTCCGTGGGAAAGTTTCAATGCTTGATGGTTGCAGCTTACTTTGTCATGGACTTTGGTGGGTTTCTTTTTCTTTTCTTTAGGTGTCATTAGTGAATCAGTTCTATTAAGAAGAATATGTGAGAGTCTTGATGATGTACTTATATATTCTCTGATTTTTGATTTGAAGCTTTCTTGCTCCAGTCTGACCCAGCATTTCATTTCTGATCCTTGAGTCGTGTGTGTAAGAATTTACTGTTGAGATCAGCAGCTGATTGTGTTAACTTTGAAAACTCACCAGTGGACTGATGATTAGTGTTTCCATTTGTTTCCATTTACATTTGTGACAAGTTACTTACCCATTGATACGTAATTATTTTGAAGCTTTATATAGTTAAAAATTGGTGGTTAAAAATTCCATCTTAGTGCTTATAATTTGAATGTCAAATTGAAAAGGATAGCAACCTATAAAAAGGAATAGCCCATTTAAAAAATAGTCTTGTGCTTTCTTATAACTATATAATCACTTAGCTGTGAGTCAATTATTCATGGTCTTCAATATTTATACAGTGGCAAAGAAGTGGGAGAAGAGGAAGTGAAGTGAGAGAGGAAATCAGGCAGACAAGTGACTAAGAAGCCAGGAGAAGTGAGCAATGCCTGGGGAGGGAAGTGATGGGCACACACATCTGCCTTGCAGTCTGAGCAAGGAGTATTTGCCAAAAGAAGACTAGTCATAATATTAGAATAAACAAGGTTCCAGAGAGGTTACATTGTCGATCTTCCTCCTTCACATGGAAGGAAAAGTGATGAAAAGATTGAAATGACTTGTGTAGGTATGCCAGCTGACCCACATAGCCTTCTGTGGTGCCCACTCTTACAGAACAGTTGCCCCTGCTTTTTCCTTGGGTAGGTAAACAGGTGTCACTGTATGCATACCGTATTCCAGTTAAGATGAATAAAACTTTGTAGGAGATCTTAAGTGTCAGTAGGTGATGGATAATTTTTCTAAGGAAGAGTGGGCTTTTTTTAGTGACTCAAATGTTCATACCAAGTCTCAGCAATGCTATTGGTTAATTTGAACTTAGATTTCCTGGTGTTGTGTGATGTCCTCTTTTTGAATAACTGAAACATTGATGTAGTAATAACTATCATTTGTCGTGACTGCACAGGTTTGTCAGTCACTGTATCAAGCCTATTATTTATCTTGTGTTAGTTCAGTTTCACAATAACCATATAAGGCAGGTGTTATTATTTGTATTTTTCCAAGGAGAAAGTTAAAATACATAGTAGTTAAGTAACCTAAGTAACTGGTATACTGTCACAGAGCTGTAAAATGGTAAAGCAAGGACTAGAGCCCAGGACTGTCTGGATCCTGAACTCATTTACCTAGCCTCATATTATGCTGCCTGTCTGCATAAAGTAGTGAGAGATGCTCATACTGAATGAGACTGTATTGATGCAAGGTTCCTCCCAGAGAAGAAATCGTCTCTGTTCTCCATTATATCTCTGCACTTAGAGGCCATCCAACAAGCCTTGGAACTTTTGGCCTAGTTGATGTCCTAGATATTATAGAAGAATGGTGATGATATTTTTTAACTAAAACTATGCAGGGCTGGAGAGATGGCTCAGCAGTTAAGAGCACTGGCTGCTCTTCCAGAGGACCCAGGTTCAATTCCCAGAACCCACATGGCAGCTTACAACTGTCTGTAACTCTAATTCCAGAGGATCTGAGATGTTTACATAGATATAGATAAAGGCAAAAACCCAATGTACGTAAAATAAAAGTAAATTATTTTTTAAGAAAACTGTAAAACTATTTAAAATATACATCATTCATCTTTTAAAATCATTTTTTAATTCTCATGAAATCCCCCTTCCAGGAAAGTTTTCTCTGTACTTAAAAAGTATAATAATATTAAAATATGTTACTTATTAGAAATTTTGGCACTTAAAAATCTAGGATAGGATTTTTTAAGTAGAAAATTTCTGAGTCATTTTCTTTATTAATGTTTCTGACAATAAGTAAATAAGATGTTTTCAATGATTTTAAGGATTTAAAAAATTGGTTAAATACTATTCAAGCTTTTTAAAACTATCTGCAGAAGGCAAGAATAATAATATTTTATATCATGAGTCAGCATCTGTAGTCTATGTGTTTTAGCCAAGTTCTCTAGAAGAGATTAGTACTGTGATCCTTCATTGATTCCAGAGCAACTCTGAATACAAGCAGATCTTGCGAGAGCCAGCCCTGCTTACACGATAGGTTGCAAACTTGTAGCCTGGGACCCCTCTGACTGTCCAGCTTCCTCCTCTCACCACCTTCTCCTTTACCTCTGTAATAGTGATGGCCAACGTTCCATGAACAGCCTTGCGGTTACCATGCATTCCCACGCCGAGTTTTCTTGGGAGGCGGCCTCTTTCTGGAAGGTTTTCCAATTTAAATGACACACCAGGACCAAAACTTTTCCAGAAAACTAATTTGAATTTCTGAATCCTCTCAACATCCCCCCTCTATTCTGTCTCAGTCCTCATGTGGGGTATTGCAGAGTCTTTGTGAACAACTGAGCTTTTCTTGCCTTGAAGAGCTACGATCCTGGAAAACTCAATGGCTTTCAAGTCCTGATCTAGCAAATTAGAGAAATTGAGTAACACAGATCACAGAGGGTCAGTTTTACAGAAAAGTTTATTATAGGTTCATAGATGGGATGGAGGGGAGGAGAGAGAGGTGAGATTGGAAAAGAGAGAGAGAGAGAGAGAGAGAGAGAGAGAGAGAGAGAGAGAGAGAGAGAGAGAACTCATCATCATCAAACCATCAAACTTTTGGTCTGGGGCTTTCTAAGGAACTTACTGCAGAAGCTGGGGTGAGGTATAGGGCGGGAGCTGAGATGGAAGTCTAATTGATCTTACTAGGTTCTCCAGGCACACCTTTAGCCCAGAACTTATCTTTTTAACTTTTTTTTCCCCCAGACACATAAGCTTTCAGTTTATTTGTTCTCTACGAAATTGTCGGCACACCACCACAGATCAAATCACCACAGATCTACTCCTTTGGCTGTATCTAATCTCCACGCACTTTTTGCCAGCACCAACGTTGGCCTTTGCGGTGCCCCTGACCTTCTTCATTCTGTTCTCACGCTCCTTCTGCTGTTCCCGGGAGGTCTTCCTCTCCTCATCGAGGCCGTGTCTTGCCAGTCTGTGTTTGGGCTCATTCTTCTTAGCATAATCTAGAGAATCACAGATCACGCCCAAGCCAGCTGTTTTGCCGCCACCAAAGTGGGTCCTGAACCCGAACACAAGGATGACATCTGGTGTGGTTTTGTACATTTTGGCTAGCTTCTCCCGAATTTCAGTCTTTGGTACTGTTGCCTTCCCAGGGTGAAGGACATCAATAACCATCTGTTTCCTCTGAAGCAGACGGTTAGTCATGAGCTTCCTGGTCCGGATCGTTACTGTGTCATTCATGATGGCTACGGTGCCCAAGCTGCACAGAAGGAAAGGAGCCCTTTTTAACTCTTAATTATCTGCTTTGGTGTATGTCTTCCTTCATTAGACTGTAAACCCCTTGGAGCTAAGCTTTGCCATTTTTATTTTTGTATTCCAAGTTATTAGCACAGTTTTTTTTTAACATAATTCATGGTATACAGTTGTATGCACACAATAGGTTCTATACACATGTCTGAAAACAGTAAGTGCTATACACATTTGACCACAGAAAGTGCTACACACACGTCTGAACAACACAACAGGTGCTGTATACATGCTTGCATTAAACTGAGCTTGCAAGAGAATGTGGAGGAGATTATCAGCACTGCTCTAGAATGCAGTCAACGACATTGCCGGTCGCTATGACACTTCCATATATAACTCAGTGTTTGGGGGCCTCTCCTTGCTTATGACTGTTGCATCCTCTGGCACTTAGCCAAGGCTCAGGGATTATTGGTTGCTCTAAATTAATAGAAGTATGGTAGTCCTTACCACCCACGTACATTTACCAGATCCTTACGTTGCTTATCTCCTTGAATATTGAAAGCAGAGATTATAAATTGGTTATAGGTTCATCAAAGTTGATCAACTGTGAGCCAGAATTTAGTAGTGTTTTAAGCAAAGAACAATAACCTGCCTTACCTTGAATTTTATGGTGACGTGGATTCCTGTCTCCACACAGTAGTGGCTATTTCTGTTTGCTTGTGACACATTTTAGCTATGAGTCCTGTTCCCTACCACTCCTTTTTCAGTCCCTGACGTGTGATCCATGTCTCTGTTTACTGCCACATGTGCTCTATTTTTCTCTCTTTTGATACTGAAAATGGCATTCAGGCCTTGCATTAGCCTCCATGGAATATGAAAATGAAAGACAAACTTGAGACTGAGCTATCAGTTTCCAGAATGTCTGTCTTCTGCGGAGAATGGTGAGTGCATAGGCATCCAGGCTCCTCTGTGGATATTTGGATTACTCTCTGCACATGTGGGCACTTGACCCTGTAATACCCGTTTCCAGCATAGCCCTATAACACGACCATGCCAAGTGATGTGTGACTTAGGACTTCAGCATGTGCATTTTCCTCATGGGTGGGAATCATGAGTCCATTTATAGTCTGCATATTTATTTAATGTTGAATGCCAGCTGCAACTAATGGTGCATTTTATTTTAGGGAAACATTCAGGATTCTTGGATGAAGACAGGAGAAGATTCTAGGGTGGATGAAGCTGCAAACAGACCATTTTCTCACGGTGATGCTGAAACCGGCAAAGCCACATCCACTGGCGATGCTGAAAAGTGGAAGCTAGAGCTGGTGAGTGTGGGGGTTTGTTTTTATGCATTCCTTTCAGCCTCTTGAGTTTAGACCTGGAAGTGGACTTGTTGGATCATATGGTCACTCTTCACCTTTCCCCTTTGCTCCTCAGCTGACCACTTCAGTCACCCTGCGGCTCACCCAGGGTTGCTCTGCCTGCTCACATTCACTCCTGAACCCTCCAGTGGATTTGTCTCGCCGGTTTCTGTATTTTTCTGTTCTAGAGTTCTTCTTTGCTCCTTTCTGTAACATCCCTGCTTTCTCTAGTTCTTCTGCTATGCGTCTCATTGCTCTTTGGTTACATTCAAGGCAGTTGCTTAAAGCCATTTCTTTAGGAAGTCTGATGTCTGTGGTTTCTCAAAGATTGTTTTTCTATTTATCTTGTTCATGACCCTACATTTTTATCTCCTTTATTCCCAAACTTTCCCAGACAGTTGAGTGTATTTGTATCTGCGTTCCTTACTGTCCATTTTCACTTTGACACCTGACAGTGCGTCCAGCCTGCTTCTCTAAGGTTGCAAGTGAGCTTTACCCCCTAACAGTTCAGCAGGCTCTTCCTCAGCATTTATAATAGTGGCACAACTTAAGATACTCAAAACAAAGTTTTAGGGCCCAGTGTTTTATCTCTGAAAGAACACTCGTGTAATTATCCTCTGGGTTAAGATTGTTTTTTCCCACTCTTGGGCTCTACAGACTTTGTGCTGTCTGCAATTTACTGTCTCTCCATTCCCATAACTTTCATGAGCATTTGCCAAGAACGCATTACTGAGCATTGTACTTGAATCTTGCCAATTAAAAAAATGTATATAAGATAGAATCTTACAATGGTGTATATTCTTTTGTATCTGTTCTCTTCCCCCATCCTCCCTATCTGCCCTCCCTTTCTTCTTCTAAATTTAGTTTGACTTTTAAAGACAGGGTCTCATATAGCTCAGGATGGCCCTGAGCTCACCATGGTACCAAATCTAGCTTTGAACTCAACCCTCCTGCCTCTGCTTCCCAAGTGCTGAGATTGCATGTGTCCCACCATTGTCTTTCTATTCATGTTACTGCGTGTGGTAGAAGTGCCTGTCTGTTTTCATTGAGGGGCCACCGGATGAATATACCACAGTTGACTTGTCTAGTGTTGCTGGATACTGGTGTATTGCTGCAGAGGACATTCATTATGCATGTGGGAGTGCACCTCACACATCTGTATGTGTATGTCCCTGAGGATGGGACCTCTTGGGCTTAGGCTGTCAGTGTTCAGTGTGAATTAAACATGGATTGAACATAGTCATCTTCCAAGCAGTTCTTTACCAGTTTATACCCTGTCAACTACACAGGAGTGATCCTGACATCCCACACCCTTCTTTACATGCTGCTGACAGTTTTGTCTGATGAATTTGTGTGCATTTGCTTGAGAGTTTTGTGTTTATTTGTTTTTTATATGTTTGTTTGTTTCATATAAAGTCTCTTTATGTAGCCCAGGCTGATCTAGCACTCACTATGTACCCCAGGCTGTCCTTGAGTTTATTGCAAACCTCCTACCTTGGAGTGCTTCTGCTCCTTATTTTATTACATTTATCCGATATGTTGATTTGGGGGAGTTCTTTGTATATTCAGGTATAAGGCTTTTCGCACACAACACACACACACACACACACACACACACACACACACACACACACATTTTATTGTGTATAGTAAAGTAAGTTTGTAGTCTCACTTTTTAGTAAGTGGTTTACTTTTTAGTCCTTCTGGTAACTAATTGCTTGCTTTTGTTACAAAGATTTCATTGTTTTGTTCATTGTATAGTACTTTCTATATCTTCTTTAAAAAGCCCCTTCCTACCCAGACATGAGGATATTTTCCTAAAGTGTTTTCCAGAGAGTATAGCTGTGTCTTTTATGTTTACATATACAATCTGCCCAAAATTCATCTTGGTGGGTGATGTGAAGCACACAGATCACATTTTGTTTTTCACTCATGCATTTATCAATATATCAGAGTTCTATTTATTGAAAAGGTCATCTTTTGCCTTCATGGTTTACTTTCTGCATTTTGTTTTTGTGGTGTTGAGGGTTCAACCCAAGACCTTGCACATGTAAGGTGAGCATACTCTTGTGAAGCCTTCCCTGTATCACACACCCTTTCCACAGGTTAAGAGTGGCTCTGCTTCAGTATCTGTTTCATTGAGCTCATACTTTGCTGTCTTGGCTGTGGCAGCCTGAATCTGGTAGACCATGTCTCCTACGTCATTATTCTTTGTACAAAGGAGTACCTTTACTATTTTGGCCTCTTGCACTTCCACATACATTGTTGAGTTTGATTTAAATTGCCTTTAGAGTATGTGTCATTTGGGAATTAATATCCTTCTAATACCATTTCATCCATCCTTGTGAACTACATACAACTCCATTTATTTAAGTCACCCTTAGTTTTCATTATTTTTTCCTTTGAGGTGCTAAGAACCAAAGCATGGGCCATGCACAGCTAGACAAAGCACTGTGTTGCTCAGTTGTATCCCTGGCCCTTGGATTTCTTGAAACGGGGTCTTGCAGTTTAGCCCAGGATGCCCTGGGGCATGCTCTCTCCCAGGATGGTCTAGAACTCATGATCTTCCTGCCTGTGCCTCTGGAGTGCAGGAGATATGGAACATCCTACCATGCTTGACTGTTTTTAGTTTCTCTGAGTAAAGGATGTAAATATCTCTCATTAGCACTCATCCTAACTTGGTTTGGATGCTATCATAAATGACACTTATTTTCATATTTCATTTCCTAACTCCCCACATAATAAAAATCTTACAGATTTTGCTATTTTACTAAGTCATGCTTTTTAAGAACGGGCTTTAGAAAAATGGTATTTCTCCTTTCCTGTCCTTTATTTTAACCTGACTGTATGTTTGTATCTCAGGGGAGTTTTCCCGAGAAGCACATAGCTGGGCTTTAGCTTTCGGCCACTCCGCTGTTAGTTTTATGATATGGTACCTGTGCCCTTGTTAATTAACGGGATTATTCTTCCAGTTGGTTTGCACTCAACATAACCACCTTGCTTTTGGAGTTCTTTTTGTTGTACTATTGTGTACTCCCCTTTTTGTCATTGTTTGAATTATTTTTGTGAGTTCCTTTTCTCTCCATAATTGATCTGAAATAATAGTTAGCACTAGCAGTCACTTCATTGCTCAATTCAGAAACCTTGGATTCGTTTTAGGGTCTTTGCCCATCTTATATCTAACCAATTATAAAAGTTGCCCAACCTGACTCTTGAATGCTTCTTTATATTAAAAACTTGCCTTTTGGTGCTTATTGCTCACAGTTTGGCCTCTTACTATGGATTTGCAGTTACTTCTTTGTAAGTATTCTTTCCCCTTTATTCTGATGTGTATGTAATTCAATCTGATAAAAAGTTTTCCATGTATGTCCAGTGCCTCAGCTACTTGGGTTGGATAAAGAAATTTCTCAACATTTATATTCTTCCTGTGTCCCAAGCTTTCCTGTTTCTCCCAATTCCAGCCACTCTTTCTCTTACCATTTTACCTTCTGATGCTAGGGTCAGGAAACCCAAAGATATGGTGTGGTGTCTTTAGATTCCATAGCCTCCGATGTCTGGGAAACCATCCTTCAAGTCTTAACACCTGCTCTGGGAAGCCTGATGGACTTCTTTTAGCTGGATTCTGTTTCCCTCCCATTTATCTCACAGAGATTCATGTGCCTTTCTGTTCTTTGTAGAGTGTAAGCTCTTGCTGAGGTTTGAGGCAGCTTTGTGTAGACACCGAAAAAGTACTTGTTAAATGGTAAATTGCATAACGGAGCTGACTGACAGACAGGGTGGCCATTTGGCTTATCGTGGTAGGCATGAAACTTTTAGCCTCCTAAATTCGTTATATGTATATATTGCATGCCAAACATGCTTGTGTATAGTGGGGGATTCTGTTGAGGTTTGGGCTTTACCCTCATGAACCTATCAATTTCCTGCAGAGTCACACTTTTAAGGGTAAGACCTGCTATGTGCAGTTTTGAAAGAAAATCAAAATTGTAGGCAGATACCATTTAGGGAGCCAGTGGTTTTTTTTTTTTTTTTTATTGACATTCATCTAATAATTAGAACAGCAGAGTTAGAGTGAACTATTGAAAATGTCCCTACAGCATTGTTCCTCCTGTGGGTAAGAGAGAAAAACTCGAGTTAATATTTAGAATTTAAATTTTCCTATGAAACCAAGACATGGTCAAAATGTGCTTTCCTGCCCTGTTTCACAGGAGAGGCTGAAACTCACATATGAAGCGAAGAGTGATCTTCTGGAGTCTCAGCTGATGCTTCTGAGGTAAAGTGAGGTTATCCATTTACAGACAGAGCAAAAGGATGGGGTTCTTAAGATAGACTTTAATGTTTGACGAGCTACCGGTATTTATAAAAATTAGTGTTACTTGATAGCATTTTATATGTAGTAGAACAGTAAAGCAGTCACTCTGTGCTTCAAGATTGTGCTAAGAATTAGTAACATATCATACATATGTCAACACGACACATGGCGGTAAAAATTCTCTCTAAGGCTGCATTTGAAAGTACTTTTCCCTGGACATTGCTTAGAAATTTTCCACTTTCTTTTAGGAAAGACTTAGTTGAATATCAGAAAAACTGTGAGGACCTCAAGGAAAGATTGAAGCATAAAGAGTCTCTTCTGGCTGCTAGTGCGTCCAGCCGTGTGGGTGGCCTCTGTTTGAAATGTGCTCAGCATGAGGCTGTTCTTTCCCAGACCCATAGCAACGTGCACATCCAGACCATTGAGACACTGACTAAGTAAGTATGCATCGTGTCCGGAGTCTTCGCCAGTGGAGGGTATTATGTCTCTAAGGGCCTGGTGTCCTTTGATCCCATGCTAAGTCACATGTGGTTAAGCTCCAAATAAACCAGATTTTAGATGGTTCCTTTATTATGGCTTTCTTGAAGAACGAATGTTTAGGCTCTGGTCTGCCAGCTGTGGGTAACTGTTATCACTGAACAGATCATTTTACCTCTTAGTTCAAATCTCATTTGAAGTAAGAGAACTGAAATAGATAATCTTCACAGGTCACCCAGTTCAGTGACCCTACCCTTAACACTATGCTTTACAAGACTGAGTAGGATGGGAATTCCTTAGATTTCACCGTATCTTGGGTTTACCAGTGTGGTTTAGGCAGAACGGACTCTCAACACATCTTCTTCGTGTGCCTATTGCAAGGTATATTCTGATTTAGTGCAAGAAGGATGCAGCTGTCAGTTTTAGCAGATGAAGGCTGACGAGGGAGCAATTATGGAGGAGCATTTTTCCAACTACTGACCCAGCTGAAACACTACAGTATTCCGTGTGCATCTCGTGTTCTAGTTTCCTTTGGAAGAAGTCTTTTTTTTTCTGTAAAATTTCATTCAGTCGAAATTGAAAATTATTGTTTATTAAAGCATCCAGTGCTGGCTTGCAGTCTGTGTTTTCCTATGCTGATAACTCTTGTCCCCTCTCTGCTCTGCTCAATCCAAAAGCCCAAGCAGCATCTATTTCAGAGTTACTCCCTCACTAAACTCTGCTCACTTGGTTCTCTACTGACTTCATGATTTCCTCTGTAGTTTTAGAATACATCATGTACACACAAAAGCAGCACTGATACTTCCGCTCTGGGTTCTATCAGAGTATCTGGCTCGGGTGGGCACTCCTCTTCTCTATCCAAATTCCCAGTTTCTCTAAGGCTAGTTCCAGTCAGCTGATCTCTGGCTCCACCCCCGATTCAAGGTTAACCTTCTTAATAGTCTCAGAGGGTCATATGCAATTAAATATCCTACAATACTTTACAAAAATTAATTATGTATAAAGAGTCAAATGTAATTCAGGCCATGAAAGTATTAGAGGTAAACTGAAATCCTTGAACTTGTATCCTCAGCATGGCATGCAAAGAGAAAGTCATAAACAGAAAAACAATTATTCCCTTGATCCATTAAAAAATTAATTCATGGACACTGGACATCGTAGCCCACACCTATAATGACAATACTTGGTAGACTAAAGCAGAGGAACTGAGAGGTGTAAGCCAGCCTAAACTATGTAGAAGATCCTGTCTCACAGAACATAAGGTTGGATATGTAGCTAGGAGGTGTGGTACTGATCCAGCATGCCCAAGGTTTAGCTCCCAGCACTGTAAAATAATTTCAGTTGATTAATTTAATTTATTTAAAAAAATATTGGAAATTATAGTAAAAGACTGGGAAAACACTTGCCATGTATAACAAATAGTAGAGTATACAAACAGTTTTGAAGTAAGAAGTGGCACCCTGACTAGCTGCTCTGTGAGTAAAGAAAGCAATGTGTGGGAGAGGAAGCTGTCAGGATATAAAAAGATATTCACTCAATTTGTACTTAAGGAAATTCAAGTCAAGAAAAAACAATCCATCAGACTGGTGGAGATTAGTGATCCACGGTGATGGCAGTGAGGCCGAGGTTAAGCAAGCGTTTTTCGTGCCCTGCTGGTGGCACTATGAAATGAGCATAGCCACTTCACAGGGCAATGTAGCTCTCTCCGTTAATATTGAAATAATGCATTATGGTTTCCTGTGAAGAAACGCTCCTCTGTGCTCACAGTAGAGCATGCATAAAGAAAGCTTCTGTAGCGTTATTTGTAATGGTGTGAGAGCCTGAGTATCCTTCAGAGGAATAACTAAACTGTGGTTTATGTCAACTGTGATGATTTATGGACAGTATAAAAAAAAAGAATTGCCAGGGATGGGGTGCTGGAGAGATAGCTCAGCCAGCAAAGCTGCTTGGTGCCAAGCTTGATGATCTAAGTTCAGTCTCTGGCCCCACATAATGGAAGGAGAGAGCCAACTCCTGCAGGTTGTCCTCTGACCTCCACAGGTGTGCTGTGGCACATGCACGTGTAAAACACACACACACACACACACACACACACACAGAGTAAATAAATATGAAAAAGTAAGAATTGTATGCACGCCCACACACATAGTTCACACAAACTTGCACATGCACATTCACACACATAAAGAAGTGGAGAGGACACACGTGAACTAATGTAAGACTAACTCCAAAGTGAGTAAAACTACTAAAGATAACACCACCACAAAGCCATTTGATTTTCTAGGTCAACTTCAATATTACATATTTTCTCTAGATTCATAGGAAAAGATTTGAAAGAATAGACACCAAATATTCAACAAAGGTTAAAGTATAAAAAGGCCATTAGAATTCAAGATTTGTTTCAAATAGTCTTTAATCCTATTGAGTAACTAATTTTACAGGGAAATATTATAAAAAATAAATGTATTTTATATTAAGTGATTTTCAAATGAAGTAACTAGTAGTCTAGTAAAATCACCCAGCAAATAAAATGAGGGTGTACCCTCTATTACATTAGCCTTCTAGGTTGGGAACAGAGGGTCAAACAGGCCTACCGTGTTTCCATTCATTGAGCGTCTGGCTTTCATTTAGACATTATGTTCTTGTCAGTTATGAATTCTGTTGTCCCTATCTTCACTTTGACCTCAGGCTCAGAAAGGAAGTGCTAGCCTGCTTAGTTCCTGTCTCTGCTTCATCAGCAGTGTGCTTTGTGTTCCGTTTCAGTGACGGAGTAGGATGAAAGTCTCTCCTTGATTATTTTTAGGAGTTTTGGGTTGTATGGCTCCCTTAGTCTGATCTGGTATTTAGACCTTTCTGACTTATTAATGCACAGTGTTGCCTACTGAGTGTCATGCTGACTTTGAAAAAGCATCCAGCATGTCTCAGGTTTGGATTTCTAGCTTTGTGTATTTAAAGGCAGTTCATGCTACATGGTTCTAGGCAGAATTTGAAAATTGGACCTTAAATGTTTGCTGGAGCCTTTTTGCAATATGCCTTGTGAAACTGGCTGTCGGCTGACTCATTCCACCTCCAGCGAGGACTGTTTGGATGTGTGATTCAGGAGTGACTTGTGTGATAGACAAGGACGGGATGAGGCCTAACATGCGGACCAGACCACCCAGATATTTGTGTGTTTTATATTGGGCGTATAGGGATTTGTAGTGAGTAACTTAATATTTGTTGATAGTGGTTGTGTTTTTAAATTGATTTAAATTGATCTGAAGTGCCTTCCACTCGTGCTGCTTTGTGTTATAAAGTAAGCCAAAGTAATATTAACTTCTTTCCTTCTTTTTTCTTAATAATCAAAATTTAAAGGTTATCATGGTGGTACTTCAGAATTATCAGAGAAATCCTGGTTACTTTTTTTCTTTTCTTTTTTTTTTTTTTGAGAACTGTTTCGCATAGTGCCGTTCTGGGATTTTGGTCCATTTTGTGATCCTTGGCAGGCTGCTGTCTAGTTGGCTTTGCAAGACTGCAGCAGGGAGCTTTCCAGAACTGGGGAACAAAGAAATGTTTCATCAGCCTCTGGACTTTCCCTTAAAGACGGTAGTAATAATGCGTATGAAAACGATGCCTATTATAAAATGCTTAAAATTGACAATGACATTTCCTAGTTACTCCGTATTTCAAGATAAAGTTGACACAGATCTCTTAAAGCAACCCGCTCCTTTGTGTACTTATGCCCATGGTTAAAGGTATTCGGGTCTTTACCTGGGTTTTCCCTGCGCTGAGTGTTGCAGTAAGCTCCTAATGTGCTACAGTCACTAGTGAGTGCCAGCACAGGCCTTTCCAGCTGGGACTTCCAGTTGTGCTCTGCATGGTGTCTTTCTGCCCTAACTGTTTGCACCAGACTGTGGAATAGTATGAGCCTACCATTGTGGGGCCAGCCCCTTTCCTCAGGACACTCCCTGGCCCGAGTTCCTGAAGCCACCGTGTGCTGTTTTTAAGTGCTTGCAGAACTTTGCCTTGGAAGGTGATGTCACCCGTGTCTGTCCCTTTGTGAGAACATCCTCAGGCCTAGCACTAGATCTGCCCTCTGGACACAGCTTCAGGAGCAGGAGTGCAACTGCCCACTAGTCCACCTGGCCGCCTGCCATGGTGGCTTCATAATTCTGAAGAACAGATAACCAGTGGTCTCATTAGACACAAGAGGCAAGTGTGGGGTGAAAAACAGGGGATCAGCTAAGAAAGTGACAGGCAGATGAAGGTCGGGGTGGAAGGAAGCAAGGCTTCCCACCGACAGGCCTGGATGCCACCCAGAGCTCTTTGTTTCCTGAGTATCCGCTGTTGGGTAAATGACAGAGCAGAGCTGGAACACAGCCAAAGGCGAGATGCAGTGCTAAGTGTAGCATCCTGAGCTGCCTAGATGGCTCTCCATTACCTCCCCGTGGGTCGTGGTAGGAAGCTGGAGTGGGTCAGTCCAGTCTGTGCAGATGTTCAGTTACTCCTGTTACCATCTCCTGAAAGATGATCTAATGAAACATCTGTGTTTGGAAATCATCTTTAATGATTTTCCGTGGCTTAAGAGGGGATGAATTTACATTCTAAAACATCTTGAACTAGATGAACTAACTTTTACTTTGCTCTTTAAGTAATATTGACCTTTTCCATTTAAATCTCACAACATGACGGAGAGGGAACTTTCTTTCAGTGTGACTTTGGAAGTCTTCCTGCTGGGATTTCCATATTCATACACTTGAGCTTTTTATTTTTTTTAAATATGGAAAAATAGTAGACTCAAAAGCAGATTAAACTATTCTGAAGTTTTTAAATTTTAAGTTTTTAATTTTACACTGATTGCATGTGTGCATATGTTTGTGTGAGCACACATGCATACCATGGCACACATGGGAAGGTAAGAGAACATCTTTCAGGAGTTGGTTCTCTCCTTCTGCCATGTAGGTCCTTGGGATCAAACTCAGCTTGTCAGCCTTGACCGCAGTGTTTTGCCCCAGGGAGCCACTTTGTAGGTGCTATACATTTGTCATTTTGTCCTTTATATTGTTGAGCATCTGCTAGGGGACAAATACTACTCTTGATAAGGGGATTCCCCCAAACAGAACTAAGTGGACTAAAGTTGTCTCCCGTGAGAAGCAGATCTGTTAGACCTTGGCCTTTTGGTATCTGCTAACTCTTTTCCACACACTGAGATGCTTGCCATTCTCTTTGGAGCTGGGGAGCTATTTTTTTCGACACTGTAGAATCAAGGAATGAAAGATGTCATTAAGTTATAACTTTTGCTATTCAGAAACTCTCAGGAACTTAAGGGAGGTGACCCTATGATTCTCAGATTGACTGGTCATTAAAGGATGACTTTCTTCTAGAATCATAGGTCCTTTTGGACTGTGTATCCTATGAAGCTAGTCCCCTTTTTATGTTAGACTCTTTTTTTTTTTTTTGCAACTCAAATAAATACAAATTCTATTTTGCTTGCATTCAATTTATCTTTTACTTTAGAATAATTTAATCTGCTTTTGAGTCTTCCACTTTTCCACATAATTATTGTGCTTCATAATATTCAATCAGAACAATTAGCTGTTTTTTATTTCATTTAGAATAAAAATTGAGTAATTTTCATCAATTTAAAACAAATCAGGAAGCTCATCATAATTCCACGAATTTATGCTATTTGTAACAATTTTTTTAACAAAAGAGCTTTTATGAATGTGTTCAGCATTACATGTTTCTTAAAATATGGCTGTTTTCCAAATACCACAAATAGTTTAAATTCCTGTCTTCAGGAGATTTGTGAAAAGGAGTCATTGGTTAGTTTGGAAGGGTATTCAAACTCAGTGTTTGTAATCTTCTAAACAGCTCTTTCATGGTTGGTTTCCTTTTTAATCCCAGTTGTTTCTTCTCTGACAGTTTGGAGTCTGGCAGTGCAAACGGTGCGTGGTTATTTCAGCGCTTTTGGTGCTGTATTGGAAAGCTGGTCCTCGTGACGATGTGCACACGATGGCATGTGTACAGGCCAGCAGGCTTTGCGTTTGGCCTTGTATGTGGAGAGTTACCGCCTCATCTTTCTCTTTGGCCATTGGATATGTTATGTTTTACATTTTATTTTTATTTCGCATATATGTGTGCCAGCTTGTCCACATGTCCACCACATGCGCGCACGTGTCTGTGGCAGATAGAAGAAGGCATCGGATCCTGAGAACTGAGCTTACAGCTGCCTGTGAGCCACTTAATGAGGGCACTGGACCCAGGTCCTCAAGAAGAGCAAATTCTCTTACCTCAGCTGTCTCTCCAGCCCCCCTGCTGGAGCTTTTTATATAGTGACAAGTTCCAAACCATCCTGAGGATTTGATCTGGAGTTTATTTAACCCGTGAAATTGATCCTTACTATTTTACATGTCTCAAAATTAGTATTCTGTTTAATGCTACCCCCAATAATCAGCTTAGTGGACATCTGAGACTTGTTTGGGAGTGGGTGAAGCTTCCTTAGGATCAAAACCAGTGGCCAAGATTTTGTTAAACTTGAGTGTCAAATGTGTGACTAGAGGGCTTGCGGGTCCCATAATACTCCTCACTGAAATAAAAAGAACAAGTGAACAGACTGCAGGTTTTGTTCAGAACCAGCAGAGAGAATTTAATCGGGAGAGAAGGAAGAAAAAGAGGCCCGTGAGAAGGATGCAAAAGGGAGGGCTTATTGAGTCCAAGCAAGGAGAGCAGATGTCATAGCATCTCCTCTGCATCCCGCCACTAAGGAGGGAGACCCCAGTTTCTCTTCAGATGTTGTACGTCTTTCACACTCGCTCCTTGTTCACAAAGCTGCCTTTGCTGTGCAGCACCGTCTTCTGAATGGGCTGCTTTTCCCAGCTCGTCCACTTCCTTTCCCTAAGTCGTTTGCTCTTGCTGAGGCTTTATGCTGTGGTCCTGTGTGTGCCAGCCCTTTCCACAGAAGGGCATTGTCACATGCAGATGTGGTCCTGCCATGAAGGCTGCAGTCTTTCAGGCCGCTCTGCCTGCCACTCGCTGAGGGAGGACAGAGGGCCATTCTCTGGGTTGTGCTTTAGTACATGCTGGCCAGGCCCTCCATAGCCATCCTTCTAACACACACAAATGCTTTTCTTCTGACTTCTGAGTACACGATCACATGGTCACTTCTCATTTGGGGTGTTCTTTTTGTGCTGACAGAGAAAGGGATGACTTAATGTCTGCGCTAGTTTCTGTGCGGAGCAGCTTGGCCGAAGTGCAGCAGAGAGAGACAAGTGCCTATAAACAGGTAAAGCATGCTGTGCAGATGACCGAAGAAGCCAACTTTGAAAAGACCAAGGCAAGTCTAACGATGGAAGTGGATGTAATTCACAGCCACTGTTTTTCCCTGTGTATTTCTTTGATTGTTTTCATAACTAAACTAATTCCAAATACACAAAACAGATGCCAGTCCACTAATGTTGATGTCGCTGAATTAAACAAACTTGCTATTTGGAGAATTATTATTCCTCTGCAAATATCTCTGTCCCATCACTATTCAGAGATTGTAGAAAGATATGGGAAAGTGCTTAATCTTGTTGACTGAGAGTTTTCAGTGCTGTGGAAATCTCAGCAGTGACTTACTTGTCTATCTATGATCCTGTATAGCTACAGGCAAATGTTTCTCCTCTGTACGGAGCAACTTTTAGCACATTTAAATAAGCCAATGTGTGTCTAGTAAGTAGCATCTTTAGATGTGAATTTAGATCCATTGTGAGCTAAATTAGATGTACCTGACAATACTAATAAAATAGTTCACACTAAGTGATCAGTGCTCTAGACACTTTGAATAAATTGGAGGTTGCTATTGATTGATTGCTGTGTTTGAGGAACACACTTTAATCAATTAAAGTTGTTCTGTATTTTCCTTTGATGTGTTGCTGGCCATATTTCAAGTGTTTAATAGGCACAGGTAGCCAGAAATGACCCCAGTGGTAGAGCAGATGTAGAACAAGTCATCATCACTGGAGGCTATAGTAGACAACATGTGTCTAACCCATGTGTACATTGAATAGCCCTAATCCGATGTACACCCCAAACTTAAAGTTTTAGAGTGCTAATATGATGCTCAAAAAGTTTTGAAATTTTAGATTTGTGGTTTTGGCATATGGGCGCTCATCTAGTAAATTCTACACAAGTACTGTGTCTTAGGGTTTTATTGCTGTGAAGAGACATCATGAACCCACAACTCTTTTAAATGAAAACATTTAGTTGGGGTGGCTCACTTATAGTTTCAGAGGTTCAGTCCATTATCATGATGGCAGGGAGCATGGCGGCGTGCAGACAGACATGCTGCTGGAGGAGTAACTGAGAGTCCTACGTCTTGCAGGCAGCAGGAAGTTGATTGAGACACTGGGCAGTTCCTGCATAGGATAGAGCATAGGAAATCTCAAATCCCTCCCCGACAGTGACACACTTCCTCCAACAAGGACACACCCACCTAACAAAGCCACACCTCCTAATAGTGCCACTCTCTATGAGATTTTGGGGGCCAATTTCATTCAAACTACCATATACTGTAAAGTATGAAGAATACAAAACTTGAAAGATCTCTGACCAGATATTTTGGATAAAGGGGCACTCAATATGTAGTTCTATCAGTGTTTTATTAAAATATCAGAGCTGATCAATTCAGTATTCAGGGCAGTCACAGTCATTGCCTATCCATTTCCCTCTCCAGTTCTTTTGTAATATTCTCAGGCTGGTTGACTCTCACTCTCTACTGATCTCATTTTCAAAAGGTCCACTAATGACCCAACTCCTCACATGTTCCTTTTCTTCTAAATTCCCCTGTCTCCTGACATCATGAGTTTCCAGCTCTCCGGTTGAGGACCCTCCTGCCATTCACTTGTCCCCGGTGACTCTGATGGAGGATTTAGCATTTACTACACTCATCGTGTCCAGACCTTTGTTTTGGCACCTGCTTTTCGGGACCCTCTCTTTTGGAAGTTTCTCCAACCTTACTCAGTGGAAACTGAATCTAGAAGATGTTTCTGGACACTGAGGAGCTGTAGCATCTCCACTTGTCTCCAAAGGTTTCAAGATCCATTTAATATATGCGACAGCAGCCCACGCTGGTCCCCATAACTCCTGATCCTTTTCTCTCTGCAACTCTCCCAAACTAAGATCATAAATTCCACTGACTGCCATGGCAGCACGCCACCCCTGTCACACTTGCGCACAGGTTTCCATTTCACAGCTGAGGCTACAAGGCTAGTCAGCTGGAGAGTTCTGGTGGCCTTCATGGTGACCAGAGAGCACTCAGAATTTGAAAAATTAGCTCAGAAAAGCCAAGTGCCTTGGTATGTTTAGTTATGTGGTGTTAGCACTTCATGGAAAATACACTCCTATCTCTCTTCTGCCATTAAAAGTATTTTAATTCTTTAAATGACAAATAGAAAAATTAAAGCAGATGTTGAATACTGTATTTTATACTATATATTATATCTATGAATACTAAATTAGGAAAGTTTCCTTAATATAACTAAAATTTGGTTCACTCCCATTGAACAGAAAACCGTGTCCTGTTCTCAGGATGGACATCTCGCAACAGCAGTAAAAGTTCATAGTTGAAAAAAATCACAGTTTCATTTGATCAAAATCGCCCACTATGTTTCCAGAAATAAAAACCCTGTCGCTACCATTATCTCTAGCATCCAATAATAAAACAGGACTTCAAAGTTACAATTTTTCAAACCTCTGTGAAATTAAGAAACCTGCACCTTAGTGTTGTTCCAGCTGTCTGGACCTTAGCATCCCCCTCACCCAGCCTTCATTTTCCCATCCTTTGGTGGCAGCCTTTTCAAGAGTCGTCTGTCCATGTCACTCCCCCATCATTTCTGGTCACAGAGCAGTCAGGCCTTCAGCAAATTCTAGATTGAATTCATGTTATTGAATTGTTCACTTCCTGATTACCAGTTCAGAGACCTTCCTGTGGTCTTTATCCGTCACACCCACTCTGTAGCTTGGGACGCGTTAGCTGTCCAGTCTTGACGATCAGGCTCACACCCACCCTGTAGCTTGGGACGCGTTAGCTGTCCAGACTTCATGATCAGGCTTCTGCCCCTGCTTTAGCTGACATCCTCCTCCTGTGGGTCTTCTCTCAGTGGCCCTGTGAACTCCTTTTGGGTCTGGTTTACTAGGCCTTTTTCAGAGTGACTTCCTGGTCCTGCCCGCTACACCGCCTGATCTCTTGGGCTTCATTCCTCCTTCCTTCACCTCATGAGACTTTTCCCTGGCACTGTTTGCTTGAGCTGCATTTCCTGCTGCTCCTAGACCTTGTATGAATGATACTCTGCTGGCATCTTCCACACAGCCATGCTTTCCACCTACTAGTCCTTTCAGATTGCTCAGTAATGCCGTCTCATCTTACCAGCCACTCTAGATTACAGCCTTCAAACATCTTCAGCTTTCCCCACACCTGCCCGTGACTCTCTCATCCCCATGCTGTTTCTCTGCAGAGTTCCCTGTTCACGGTGCCCTCTGCCCACCTTCCCCTCCTCCACCTCTGCTGTGCTCTTAGCCATCCATGTTGTGCAGAGTGTGGCAGCAGCCTCCTGGCTGCTTTCTCTGGTTCCTCCCCCATCCAGTGTGTCCTTTGCATTGCCTTAGGCCTTCTGAATTGTAAATACCCCACTTAGGGAACTCCCCTATGGAAGTGTGCTAATTCTCCAGGCTGGCCTTGCAGATCTTTCAGTCTGGCCCTTCTCCAGCTTTCCTCAGTCATCTTTCACCTCACCCAGACAGTTGAAGAACCTGAATTATAACAGTGTTTTCATGAGTTCATTGAGCCAGCACCAATGGCTTGGTACTCATCTGTGACATACATGTTTGTTAGAGGAGGCTCAGTTCAGGTGGCAGTCTTTGTAGAAACTCCCCTGCTTCTTGTTTAATTCACCTCTGATTCCTCTGAACACCCCCTGTTGTTACCAAGTCCAGGAGACTTTCTGTAGCTGTTGGAAAGACTGTTGTGTCCAACACTGTGTTTTCTCTCGTGTTATTTGCATATTCATTGCACAACTAGTGTTTGTTGAAGTGAAATTAGTCAGGAGTTTTAAATATAAATGTGATCTCATATAATTAATGACTTTGGAAATTGAATGATTAAGAATGAGCAAGATCGGTGCCTAGCCCAATTGTCATCAGAGAGGCTGCCTGTGGCAGCTAATGGAGGCAGATGCAGAGACCCACAGCCTAACATGACCCAGGGAGAGAGCCCAAATTGAAGATCTTCATCAGGTCCCTACCCTTGGAGCTAGGGGAACCCCGTGGAAGAAGGGAGGAAAAACTGTAGCAGCCAGAGGAATGGAGGACACCAGGAGAACGTGGCCCACAGAATCAGCTAAGCAGGGCTCATAAGGACTCACAGAGACTGAAGCAACAATTACGGAGCCATCGTGGTTTTGCTCTAGGTCCTCTGTGTGTATGTCATGGTTGTGTAGCTTGGTGTTTTTGTGGAACTCCTACAGCGGGAGTGGGGATGTCTCTGACTCTCGCCTGCTCTTGGGACCTTTTCCCTCCTACTGGGTTGCCTCACCCAGCCTTGATATGAGGGTTTGTGCCTAGTCTTATTATAACTTGTTATGCTCCATTTGGTGGATATCTCTAGAAGGCCCGCTCCTTTCTGAAGGGAAACAGAGTGAATCTGCAGGAGAGGGGTGTGGGTGGTGAGAACTGGGAAGAGTGGAGGGAGGGGAACTATGGTCAGGTGAACATGGTGAGAGAAGAATAAATAGGAAGCAGGGAGGGAAGGAGGGAGGCAGGGAGGCAGGGAGGGAGGGAGGGAGAGGCATTGCATGCTGTGAATCTGGCATTTTCACTGAATCAAGGAAATAACTGGTTGTCACGTGGTTGACTTGATGTGATGAAAGTCTAGGAGGTTTTGCCTATAGTTCTGATAAGACATATGAATTTTTCTTTTGGGGAGTATTAAAAGATAGTGAATATGGATATTTTCAATTTGTAACTGCTTTTTAATACAAGCTGGGAGGGATGTTTAGCATCTTAGTTTCTTGGTGTTTGTTGCCATCTAGTGGGCATTGTTTGTATTGCATGGCAGGTAAAAGGCATTGCTTTATTGTACTATTTGTAGTGACTGAAATACCTACCATGTTTATAAGAAAACAAATACCCGATATGAGAAGACCACAATGTCATTTTCAGGTAATGGTGTGAAACTACTGTCTATCAATCTCTACTGTTCCACTTTCTAGATCTGTGATTTGAGCAAATAATTTCATGTTTGAAAGCCCTGGTTTTTTTCACCTAAGTGATAAGAACCATTTAAATTTTCTTAATGGGGTTAATGAAATGATTCTATGCTAGCCACTTAGAAAACTTTTAGTGTATAGCAAGTGCTCAGTGAAAGGTTGTACTTGGAGTGTAAGTTATTACACCTGGAGATAATTTTTAGAGAGAAAAAAGAACGGCAGGGGGTTTGTGGTACTGTGTTGATGAAACTCCAAGAAACAGCTGGCAAAGGTTCATCGCTCCCCCCTGCCTACTGTCCGAGGAGGACGGTGGCTGGTGAGGTGTGGAGGCTCAGGCAGGAGATCAGACGAGCACACTGGAAGTGAGAGAACACTCCAAGGAAGCTTTTCTTTAAAACTGGCTAGGGAGGTTAAATAAGTGTTTGTTTTATTAAAAAAAACTCCATTATTCTGTGTCTTGGATTGTGGTAGAACCAAAAAAGCAGGACTAAGAAACTTGATTGTTGTGGAATATTTGTTCAACCAGGCAAAGATGTGTGACATTTGTTTCTGCTACGGAGTATTACTTTAACTGTATTTAACTGTATAAAGATGTGTTAATTTTGTTATCCTGTATTTGTTTAATTATGTACAGATGTGTTACATTTGTTTCACCTTGCCTGCCTAAGGCACCTAATTGGTCTAATAAAAAGCTGAACAGCCAATAGCTAGGCAGGAGAGGGATAGGCAGGGCTGTCAGGCAGAGAGAATAAATAGGAGAGAAATCTAGGCTCGAGAGGGAAGGAGGGGGAGAGAGAATGAGGGAGACACCCAGGGCAAGAAGCCAGGCAGCTGCCAGCCAGTCAGACATAGAGACAGCAGGAAAGTGAGACATACAGACAGAAAGTAAGGAAGGTAATAAGCCCCAAGGCAAAAGGTAGGTAAAGAAAAGTAGGCTAATTTAAGTTAAAAGAGCTAGCCAGAAATGTGCCTAAGCTAGACTGAGCATTCAAAGGAGCTGGTTGGTGGCCCAAAAGAAAAAGCCTGGTGCACTTGGAATGTGAAAAAAAAATAATCAGAAAAGCATTGAGCACTGGACTCCAGTCGTGGGCACGGAGGTAATGTTCCTTGCAGCTCATTGTCTGCTGCAAAGCAAAAGCAAGCAGCAATGCCTTTGACAAAGACAGACCACATACAGGACAGTGGCCCCAGAAGATCATAAGAGAGGTGACGGGATTCCTATCACCTACTGAAATAGTAGTATTAACAGGTTTGTTTGTGGTGGTACTGGGATGCTCGCACTTACCGATGCATCAAAATGTGACATATACAGTTATATATTGTATGTAAGCCCCAGGAATAAAAAGCAATGTGTTATTGGCTTCCATGTTTGTTCTATTGTTTGCCATTATTTTAGAATGTATCCCTTCTACACACACACACACACACACACACACACACACACACACACACATCACTGTGAAGCAGTGTGTAGTAGTACACCAGCAGTAGCCTCATCCACTTCATATTCAGAGTGTTTCTTTATTGCTTCAGGGATAGTCACATGACATGGAACATTTAGGCTTATGTAAGTGTGAAATTACATAATGATGCATTTCTCAGAACATGGTCGCTGATGCATGCTTGTGCAAATAGTCTCAGTGTAGACTTATTGACACATTTCTGATAAGCAAGTATTTATAAATTAAAAGCAATACCTTGTTTTATTCATAAGTAAGAAGCTTAAGTATGTTGATAATCATTTTTATTTAATGGGCTTGTTTCATAAAAATAAATTCATATTCATAAGTTTCAAAATTTATGTTCAATAGCAGTAAACAGTAAATCCTCATAATATCTTAATTTATTATTCATGAGTTTTTCCCTGGGATTTCTAGGAAACTATCCATAACAGTTGGGAAGGGAAATTAGAGATGTCATTAAATAGTTTTCCTGTTTTAAAATTTAGTTGACAGATGTCAGTTTTGTTGTGGAAAATGTTTGACTCCTTTATAATGGTAATATTTACCTTTGGCTTAATAAAACTACAATTATAAATACTAAGTCCAATAAATTATGTTTCAAAATAAATGTTGATAGGGACAGCATGAAATGACTGCAGAGGAAGAATCTTGGGTTGAATTTACTGGCTTAGAAAAGCATAATTCCTCAAATCCTCAAGCTGGCAGCCACTGCCACCAAGTAAGAAAAAGGAGAAGCCACCACACCAGATCCCCCAGGAAAAATGGAGTCAGGACCCACAGACCTGATCATCTTTGTTGTGACTTAGCCTCTGAGAATTGAGTTTCCTCATGTCAGCTGGGGTTCTTCAAAATTAATAAATGAGAGCCCTTGAATTACAAGGAGTAGCATCCTGCAATAGTTTGTAAGTATTGGGGTTAGGAACCCCTCAGCTTCAGGTGAGGTCCAGTGTGAGAGAGACAGTTTTAGATCTCAGGGGTTCCAAGCTCCTGATTTAGGTCCAGAGGGTAAAAATGATTGCTGCCCAAGCATTAAGACCTGAGTTTGGATCCCAACACCCGATCAAAAACCAGATGAGGCAGCGTGCATTTGTACTCTCAGTGTGGGGGTGGGGTGGGGCAGACAGGGATCTCTGGGCCATGAGAGCTGGGGCATGAGAGCCCATCAGTCTGGTTGGTGAGCTCCAGCTTCAGTGGGAGACCCTGTCTCAAGATTTAAGGTAGAGAAGTGGTTGAGGAGGACTCTGGCTTCCATATGCAACATACATGTGTATGTTCACTACACGCATGTACACACGACTACATTTTTTATTTCCAAGTGTTACTAAATCTTAGTGCTTTTTTCATTGTAACCAGGTATCAATGTCAAAAAAGTATGAAAGGTAAATCCAATGAGAGCTATTTAAATGTGTGACCATTGGTTACATGCCTGGTGGTGTCATAACCAGTTTGTCACCTAAGGTTTTCCTCAGCGCTCCTCTTGCTGACGGGCTGGCAGGAGGCAGAAGGCTGTCCACACAGTCGTGGTCAGCACGGTTGCTTATGTGACTTACAGCTCCACTTTGTGCTTTCCACTGAACAGCCTATGGCTTGGCCTTTCCGCCCTGAGGACCATTTCCTCCTGTTCTGCTGACTGGATCCCCCCACGCCTGCTGTTTGGGTTGTGCTGGTCTCTCAGGTGTTCTTGCTCATCTTATACTTAATGATGTTGCTGCCTATGTTGTTCAGTTGGGAATTTTTTGGATATATTGATTTTTATTTACTCATACCAGTGATATTCATAATAATAGTAAAAGTTATAGGTTTGTTTGTTTGTTTTTACTAGATTGATTAATGGAAAGTAATTTTTACTAACACAACTGTATTTTGAAGCACAGAATTCAGTATTTCAGGCTCCAAGGGATTCAGTTATGAAAAAATATACTTCTTCATTTCTTTTACAATCTTGTTTTAAATTTCCTTTGTGAGGCATTCTGCTAGGATTTAACTTGTGATTAACTCTGTTGGAGAACTTTTTAAAATCAGAATTATTATTTGTTTTGGCTAACCAGACACATTTGAAATTGGCTGTCATACTTTAGGATGGCAGATACTTTCCAAAATTGGGAACTACAGGTGAATGTCTTCTAAATGGAGGAAGGAGAGTTCACAGATCCTAGATATTTTCAGTCTATAGTTAGTTTTTAGCAAAGAACAGTATAACTGTGCATAAAGTCTAACAGTGTGCATGGAGACTATTTCCTGTAATCACAGGCTTTTCTCTGCCCCACCCCGTTCAGCAGTCACTTCCCAAATTATCACTCAGAGGCTTGTATTAATTATAAATGCTTGGCCAGTAGCTCAGGCTTATTACTAACTAGCTCTTACACTTAAATTAACCCATAATTCTTACCTATGTTTAGCCACATGGCTTGATACTTTTTCTTAGTATGGCATTTTCATCTTGCTTCCTCTGCATCAGGCTGGAGACTCCTTAACTCCACCCTCCTTCCCATCATCCTCAGTTTGGCTTTCCTGCTTAACTTACTGCCCAGCTACCAGCCTATCAGCATTTTATTAAACCAATTCAAGTGACAAATCTTTACAGTGTACAAGAGGATTATTCTACAGCAATTTGCATCTCCATTATCAACCAATGTGACTGTCCAACCTATAGTCATATAGCTTGTGAGCTTTGTGAGACTTGGGTTGGGCTAGTGCTATCATAAGAATGAGATACCATAGCAACTTAATTAGTTTGAGGTATTTTTATTGTAATTTGAAGTTCCATTTCATTTTTGGACATTATAAATAATGGCCAAAGGAAGGGAGAGAGTTTTTTATTTCTGGAAACATAGTGGGTGATTGTGATCAAATGAAAAATGTGATTTTTTTTCAATTATGAACTTTTACTGCTGTTGCAAGATATCCATCCTGATGACAGCAGATAGTAAGCTTGTGTTTAAGGGAGTGAACTAAATCATAGTTGTATTAAGGAAGCTTTATTAATAGAGTATTAATAGATATATACAGTATTCAACATCTGCTTTAAATTTTTCTATTTGTTATTAAAAGAAATTCTTTTAATGACAAAGAAGTAGTCTTGTAGCCTCAGCTGTGAAATGGAAACCTGTGAGTGAGTGTGACGGGGTGGCGTGCTGCCATGGCAGTCAGTGGTGTGGGCAAACAGTCATCCGAGGGGGCTGCAGAGAGGGTTTAACTGTCTTAAATAAAAGCACTCCAGTGTGACTGTCTGATCTCTCCCTGGTGCGTTTTCTCACTCCTGAGGTCCTTCTCATGCTCTTGTCTGGCAGGCTTTGATCCAGTGTGAGCAGCTGAAGAGTGAGCTGGAGAGGCAGACAGAAAGACTGGAAAAGGAACTTGCCTCTCAGCAAGAGAAACGGGCTCTGGAGAAGGAGATGATAAAGAAAGAAGTAGCCAAGGAGAGGGAGGATGCAGAGTCGAAGGTACTGTGCAAACACTTTCCCATGGCCGTGGGGACGCATCTGAGGGGAAGGGCTGGCTTTGGCTCACAGTGTCAGTCTGTCCTTGCGAGGAAGGCTGGCTTTGGCTCACAGTGTCAGTCAAGGGGAAGGCAGTGTAGAGCCCCTTGCAGTGGGGGAATGCACACCTGAGTCTCACGCCAGCTCTCCTAGAGCCTTCTGCAGTCCTCCTGTGCATCTCTTCTACCTTTTTGCAGCTTCAGCAGTGGAGTTGGAGGCTCTTGGGATGTAGTCACGGAGCCAATGCTGCTGTCTCATAAAGGACAGGCTTTAGGGAAAGGTGACTGCTAAGCAGATGTGTCCATAAGTGAAAGTCTCTCAAGCCTAGACAGTCACGCGAGACTTTTGTCAGGAGGATTTTGAAGTGAGGCCTGGAAAGGTAGAGGGACGGTCAGGGGAAGAATGGAGTTCAGAGGAAGAAAGTGTCACGTCCAGGAAGAACATACACCTGCAGGAGCTGAAGCTCCGTGCATGGTCGGGGTTTGGAGCCGCCAGGCAGCGGAGCCGAGGGACTTCGGAAGAACGGTAGAGGGTGAAGTGTGGAGAAGTATATAGGGAATAAATCACCCATGCTCTTAAAATCTACCTGAGTATTAGACATTTCATCCAAATGTGACATTAAACCACTGAATGGCTTTACGTTGGACAGTGTTGTAATGATAGGAATATTTGAGGAAAATCACCTTGTTAATAAATTGGAGTAGAACTAGAGTGTGTGCCAGGAGATCGGGTTGGGGTTAGGTTTGGCATCTTGGATCCAGGAGATCACTGGGAGTTCGTTATGGTAACCGATCAGTGATCGCATCATGGTCCCAGGATCACTGGGAGTTCGTTATGGCAACCAGGGGCAGTGATAGCATCATGGTCCCAGGATCACTGGGAGTTCGTTATGGTAACCAGGGGCAGTGATAGCATCATGGTCCCAGGATCACTGGGAGTTCGTTATGGCAACCAGGGGCAGTGATAGCATCATGGTCCCAGGATCACTGGGAGTTCGTTATGGCAACCAGGGGCAGTGATAGCATCATGGTCCCAGGATCACTGGGAGTTAGTTATGGCAACCGGTCAGTGAGAGCATCATGGTCCCAGCTTTTCAGAACCATTTCAGGTCGTGCTTATTCTCCCCAAGTTCCCTTACTCTCAGCAGAGAAACTTAGTAAGAGAATTGAAGCCAGTAGGTGACAACCAGTTAAACTTTTGGCCTCCCGTGCTGTCTCCCTTCTTTACCCTTCCCCCACCTCCCGGAGCCCCTCCCCGTCATTGTCTAGGCTCCTCTGGTCTTCACCTCTCCTTTCCTTAGCCTCCTTGTCTCACCCTGATGGCACTTGCAGCCCCTGTGGTGTCTTTACCTCAACTCACTTGTTCCTTACACCACAGCTGGCACGGTCTTTCTGTGGTGAACATCCCAGTGGGCCAGTCTCTTGCTTGAAAAGCCTTCCTCGTCTCCCTGCAGCCTCAGATAAACCAGGATCCTTTAGCAGAACAGAGAGTCGCCTTCATTTTTCCTCTCCGGCTCTTCAGTCTCATCCCCTTCTTTTCTTCCTTGTGTTCCTTCCACACTGACCTCCCTGCCCTTCTCCAGTCGTTCAGTCAGACCAGTCTACCCTGTTTTTTAGGTTTGGTTGCTTTGGGGTTTTGTTTGTTTGTTTGTTTTTGTTTTTCAAGACAGGGTTTCTCTGTGTAGCCTTGGCTGTTCTGGAACTCACTCTGTAGACCAGACTCAGAGATCCACCTGCCTCCCAAGTTCGTGTGCCACCACCTCCTGGCTGGTTTTATTTAAGATTTTGAGTGGGCTTCACCCTCTTAGCCAGAGGAGTCTTTCTTTGTTCTCATTGGTCTCTCAGAGTTCTTGAAGCGGGGCTCCATCAGAGCCTTCCAAGGCAAACCCAGCTTCTGCTCTGTGGGGTCCCCTAATTCAGTTGATTGCAAACTCTTATGGGATCGTTGCCTTCTGTGACTTTCTGTGAGTCTCTGCATGTACGAACGAGCATCCTCATTGCTCGGCATGTTAGCACATGCGCAAATAGATATTTATGAATGAAGTACAAACAACGTACGAGGAAGGGAGAGAAGACCCCAGGCACTGGGAAGGCAGGGCTAAGGTCGAGGGCCTGAGCCAATCCCTCCCTGCAAGGGATCCTGGCAGGCCGTGTGGGAAAGGTGCTGGTTAGCTGAGTTCCAAAGAATAGGTAGGATTTGGAATCCTAGCAGCTGAGGAAGGAAGTGGCCTCTGTTCAGCCTGAGGAAGGCATGGAGGGAGGTGTAGTTTTGAATTGGCTATTGTGTGTGTGTGAGAAAATAGAATCAATCACACACACAAACAGCTATTGCTCACACCTAGGGTGTTTTTATTTGGGAAGGGGGTTGTTTAATGGAAACCATTTGACTCAGTAGCTTCACAATAGGAAACACTTGGATGAGAATTTTGAAAAGGAAGGAAAAAAGAGCAATGAATTGTGCTTGGCGGTATGGGAGGTGCTTTTATACAAGACTCTCCCCTGGTGGGCACTTCCTGAGGAAAGGTGTCAGGTGACGCAGCCCGCTGTCACCAGTGGAGTGAGCTCTGGCAGATGTGTGAGCTCAGGTCTGGTCCTGAGAACAAGTACAGATGTGAGAATAAGGGGCAGCCCATCCTAGCACCCGGGTGTTCTCGTGAGGACAAGTACAGATGTGAGAGTAAGGGGCAGCCCATCCTAGCACCCGGGTGTTCTCGTGAGGACAAGTACAGATGTGAGAGTAAGGGGCAGCCCATCCTAGCACCCGGGTGTTCTCGTGAGGACAAGTACAGATGTGAGAGTAAGGGGCAGCCCATCCTAGCACCCGGGTGTTCTCATTAGTACAAGTACAGATGTGAGAGTAAGGGGCAGCCCATCCTAGCACCCGGGTGTTCTCGTGAGGACAAGTACAGATGTGAGAGTAAGGGGCAGCCCATCCTAGCACCCGGGTGTTCTCGTGAGGACAAGCACAGATGTGAGAGTAAGGGGCAGCCCATCCTAGCACCCGGGTGTTCTCATTAGTACAAGTACAGATGTGAGAGTGAGGGGCAGCCCATCCTAGCACCCGGGTGTTCTCGTGAGGACAAGTACAGATGTGAGAGTAAGGGGCAGCCCATCCTAGCACCCGGGTGTTCTCGTGAGGACAAGTACAGATGTGAGAGTAAGGGGCAGCCCATCCTAGCACCCGGGTGTTCTCATTAGTACAAGTACAGATGTGAGAGTAAGGGGCAGCCCATCCTAGCACCCGGGTGTTCTCGTGAGGACAAGCACAGATGTGAGAGTAAGGGGCAGCCCATCCTAGCACCCGGGTGTTCTCGTGAGGGAGAACTGCTTCAGAGAAATAAGATGTGGGAGTAACTCCAGTTTGCCCAAAGGCCCTCTGGGACTTTGTCTAATCTTCGGGGTGACGAATGCTTCAAGCACTCGACAGGATCAAATGTGATGACACTTTGAAAATGTTGTAATTCCTGTCTTATGGTGGGCATTGGGTAAAATTGAGTCTGTACCTATTATCATTTTTATTTTAGGGAATGAGCAGTGTGAGAGTATGCTCCTGGACAGCTTTCTTGTACCTGTGTGTCAGTATAGACAGATAGGCTTGAATGCAAACTCCAGCTGTACCTTTTATGTATTATTGTGAATGAACTTGGGCAAGTAGCTTAGTTTTCTTAATCTCATTTCAGGGGACCTGAAAAATTAATTCAAGTAATCCAATTTCCATTATTCCAAATCTGATGCGTTTCTTTCTCTAAAGGGACTAAAATGCACACACATGTGCAACACTAGGAAAGTGCCTAGTTTCCCGTGTCATATCGCTGAAGTTTCTGCATGATCGGCTTTGGGAGCTGTAATGGAGATGCCTCAGACACGGGTACCAGGATCCTACTCTGAGTGTACACATGCGCTACGAGCTAGCAAGCATGCCTCTCTGTCCCTCCTGGCCGTGTCCTTGCCTCCTCCTCTCCATCTCCTCCCCTCTTTTAGCATGAATCTTAAAGGTTCTTATTAATAAAATCAAACCTGAGGCCAGTTATTGGGGTGAGCGCTGGAAGATCAGAGAAGCAGAACAAGCCACAGCCACCTCGCCTCACCAATTCCTCAGCTGATCCTGTTTCCTCAGACTGGAAGCCTCTGAGTCCTCATCCAGAATGGATCTCAGCTGAACTGCTTCTTGAAAGCCTAAAAGCTTAACCAGCCTAGTTCCTGGTCCTCATGCCTTATATACCTTTCTGCTTTCTGCCATCACTCCCTGGGAATAAAGGCTCACTTCTTGGGATTAAAGGCATGTGTCACCATGCCTGGCTGTTTCCAATGTGGCCTTGAACTCACAGAGATCCAGATGAATTTCTGCCTCTGGAATGCTAGGATTAAAGGCGTGAGTGCCACCATTTTCTAGCCTCTGTATCTAATGGCTGTTCTGTTCTCTGACCCCAGATAAGTTTATTAGGGTGCACAGTATTTTGGGGAACACAATACCACCACACCCTCTCCTGCAGGAGACTTTGCAGTGTTCCTCTTGTTCTCAGTCCTTTACAGTTTCACAAGCAGATTTGAAGTACATGCCCAGGATAAAAACTCACCAACACAAAGTATCGAGTGAGGTATTTATTGAAACAAAATGAGAAGGGAGTTTCCTCATTATATTTTTAAATAGTATAATCCATGTGTATAAAAGTGTGTGCATAGATACACAGAAAGGAGGGATTGTCAGTTGATCCGACTGTAGCTGTGGAATCAGAAAGAAAAAATTTCGCTTTCAAAGCTGCTTTCTGGGGCAGGGAAATGGCTTAGTTGGTAAAGTGCTTGCTGCAGGAGCATGAGTTCGAACCCCAGCACCCACATGGTAAAGCTAGCCGTGGCTGTGTGTGCCCGCAATCTCAGTGCTGGGGAGCTGGAGACCAAAGGATCCCTGGGGCTCGGTGGCCAGTGGAGCTGAGTCTGTGAGTCTGGGTTCAGTGAGAGACTCTGCCTCAAAAAATAAGGTACACAGTGAATGAAGGAGACACCGGGGACTGACCTCTGACCTCAGCATGAATGTGCACACATGTATTTCCATACCCACATGCACATGTGTGCATATGTGTGCGCACACGCGCGTGCACACAGACACAGGCAGGCACACACACACACACACACACACACACACACACACACACACACACACACACACACACACTGCCAAGCTTTGGAATACAGTCTAATAGGGACAGTGACAAATTACTCATTACCCTGCGAGTATTAGGTTGGTAAAGAAACAGGTGCTCTTGGTTTCCTAACAGTAGGGCCACTCAAGAGACTTAGTCATCAGCCTTCTCCCCCACCTCCATTTGTGCGGGAAGCTCTAGGAGAACAGGTGTCTCTGCCTACCCGCCCATGTTTGAATCATCCCCCATGAAGATTACCTGCTGTGAGTTTGTCTCTTGCTTTCAGCAGTGGTCCTGGTTTGCTCTGAGCTGCTCTGGTCTGTTAGCTCAGTCCATCATTCATCAGATGCTTATTTGATCCCCCCACAGTGCACACGTTTTCTTAGTTGGTTCCCTTGACAGTAGCCCATTGCCAGAATCCTTACTTTCTTGTGTCTTTTCTACCACTTCATGCAATATGCAATGTCCTGGAAACGGCTTTGCAGAAATGTCTATCAAGCTTTCCCAGCCTCGGTGTCCTTGTCTCTTCCTTGCTACTGTCAGAGTTTAAAGGACTTACCTGATGTCAGTGCCTTGGACATCCAGCAGTGCTGCAGCTGTCTGTGTTACCTCTGGCTCTGCAGCAGATGTGGATGGAGAAGCTCCTGCAGGCTGACGCTGACTTCCAGATGGTGGGCGTGGGGGAGAAGACAGAGACAACAGGAGGGAGCAGACCGGGATGGGCAGAGGAACTAAGTGATGGGTGCTGGAGGGAGGGAGTCCCAGGAAGGGAGGGACTTGGTGTATGCCTTGTGATAGAAACTGACACAGAATTTACAGCTAGCAAAATAGATATCTGCACATTTACTTGAAACACAGCATTCTCAATATGTTTAACAGATTTATCTCCACATAAATATGTAATATATTAGTTTTAATAGCTTGTCACTAAAATTTACTGCTGTTATGTGGGTCCAGGAGAACTATAATTACAGGTTGATGATATGGATAATCATGAATTGGAGTTCTTAAACTAAGGAAATTAAATTGATACTTGATTTGCTCTGTATTTTCCTTTGACCCTTAATTATTGGTGCAGATTGTAATATGCATAAAGATACTTTGTAGTTTGGTATTAGCAAAGCTATGTGCAAATTAAGTTTTTGGACAATCTTTTAATGTTCAGGACATGTAAATAACTGTAAGTCAAATATCAGAAAGGTCAATTAGTTGATCATTCTAAATTACAACGTATCTATAGGACTCACTGTCTGCATGTGTGTTGACTATGCTATTTCTATAATCAAATGCAGGCACCTGACATCATTTTATTGCTGTAAAGCCCTTCACTTACTCTTCACGTTTGTTCAATATTGACAACTTAAGAGAGTTTTTATTACCATATATTAATTATATACAATAATGGGTTTCATCAGGATGTTTTCATGCATGCATATAATATAGTTTGATCGTATTCATCTTCCCATCCCCATTATTGTCTCTTGTTCCCCTGGCCTTTTGTTTGTTTTTTGCATGTATGAACCAATGAGTTTAATTAGACTTACTTGGTTTTGTTTGGTTGAGTTTCCTTATTTTACTTTATGCTCATTGGTGTTTTGCCTGCATGTATGTTTGTGTGAGGGTGTCAGAAGCCCAGGAACTGGAGTGGCAGACAGACGTGAACTTCCATGTGGGTGCTAGGAATTGAACCCAGGTCCTCTGGAAGAGCAGCCAGTGCTCTTGACCACTGAGCCATCTCTTCCGCCTCTAATAGGCTTATTTGTATGACAAAATTTTAGTTGTTTGTTCAATTATAGAACATTGTAACACATATCAGGGACTGTGGTAGAATTGAAGCATCGTTGTTTCTTTAGCAGATAAAGTAGATATCCCCATACACTTTGTTCTGGGTTAGGGTAACATTCCTTCATTTTAAATGTGTCGGTTCAACTAAGAAGTTAGCACAGCAAAGTTTGAATCACTGAAACAGCACAACCATGAAGTCTAAGGACTAGGAAGCATTTTCAGTCCTGAGGAGAGAGGAGTAAGACCCGATGCTACCTGCAGACATCCTAATTATTCATCCATGCACTCATGGAACATTTGGTACCTTTTAATGAACATGCCCTTGAGGAACTTCAAGTAACAAACCAAACCAAACCAAACCCACAGCTAGAAACCATGAAATGGTATAATTAAGTACCATGCCAGTGGTACACAGAGGCAGAATGTGGTGAGGTGTCCACTCTGAAGGTGCTGTAGGATTACATGCCAGAGTTACTCTCAGAGTATTAAACAAGCAGGATGGCATGGGCAGACAGTGAGAATGGAAGCAGGTACAGAGAGCAGGCGGAAGTGTTCCCAGGCGCAGCAGCTGATTCGCAGCCCTGGGGTGTTCTCTGCTGGGAACTGGAAGTCAAGGAGGGCTTCCTGGAAGACAGGGGATGATTGCACATCCGGTTCTTGACAGGACTGAGGAGCTGTAAATAATGGGAGGATAAGTGGGACTTGTCAGGAGAGAAACTGCAGAGAGCCCCTGTGTTGATTTGGGGAAGGGAAGCTCCTCTCTCTCTCTCTATCTCCATTTCCTCTCTTTAAATTATCCTTTCTAATGTTTAATGTCCATGTGGAAAAGGACCTCAGAGTTGGCAGTTCCCCCACCCACTTTGAAATGTCTCCGTTTCAGTCTGTTCTGTACCTTATCATCTTTGCTGTCTCAGGGTTCCAACCAACATTTACACTTCATCATCTTACAGCTTTTCACAGTAAGTTAGAGTCCAGGGAGTGAATAGGAGTGATGGAGGTATTTCAGGGGATGAGGTGAGTTGAGGATGTAGAGAAGTGGACATACCCAGCCCCCAGAGAGATAATGCAGAGCCCAGTAGCTGTGCAGACACCGAACTGTTGAAGTGACTTTTTAATCTTCATATTTTCAAATACCACTGCTGAATTTTTTGTTTCCTCTATAGATGTTGATCCTGTCTCAGAATATTGCCAAGCTGGAGGCCCAGGTAGAAACGATTACAAGGGAGAAGATTTCAGCTGTCAGTCAACTAGAGGAAATTCAGAACCAGCTTGCTTCTCAGGAAGTGGATGTCACAAAGGTCTGAACTTTTCAGTTTAATAATTGCTTAAGTACGTATTTTCTTTGAAAATAGTTTTGTTTAAATTTATTATTTTTATCTGTGTGTCTGAATGTATGAGTGTGTGTGTATGTGTGTGTGTGTGTGTGTGTGTGTGTGTGTGTGTGTGTAGGCACACACATGCCATGGTGCTCCTGTGGAGGTCAGAGTTAATTTTCTCTCCACTGTGGGCTCTCCCTCTGGTTTTTAGATGTCTGAGCCATCTCGTCCACTTTGAAACCATTTTTATTAATATCCAAAGCTCCTGGTATGGTCAGGAAGAAGTTTGGAATAAAAAAAGTTTTGTTATTTCAAGAATAATAAAGGTCAACTTAATGAGTCTATCCACCTCCGTGGTACTGTACATCCAAAGATAACTTGTACCAAATAATTGACAAAGACAGACTTGTGAATGGGAATTACATTGCGTTAACTGTTGAATCCTTAACAAAACTTACCTTTCTGACTTAGCTAACTAGGAGTGATTGTTTTTCCTCAGACAGTGTGAGGTTGGCCATCCCAGTAACAGTTTAAGACATTCTGAAAGGGATGTTTAATATAAAACGTTTCTATCTCTCACTTCTATTTTAGATCTGCTTCTAAAACCAATGGTTTAGATTAAATTCTTAGTTAAATATTAAGTTTAGCATAAATTCCTATTTTATTGATACTTAAGTTACACATTTACATACTACAGCATTTGTGCTCCGGGCCTCACTAGCCAGTGAAGTGAGAACTAAAACATTTAATGGTTTTAACTAACTTTAGAATGCTAGTTATCTGGATTTCAAGTAAATCACTTAACTAGTAAGAAACTGAATATTGGAATACATAATATATAAATGAAGTCAATTCATTCTTTATCACTAAATTTACAGATAATTTTATAACATGATAACCTATACTGTTACATTTTATTCCATTGCTGCTTTATAATTAAATAATCAGAATTATTTTAGCTTATACATTAATTTATACGTACAACTTACAAAAAGAGCTATTTCCCTTTTCACTTTCTAATTCTCCACTTCCTAACATTCATGCTTGATGATGGAGATCTAAGAAGCTCCTGTTTGCTAGCATACCTCTGTGTCTGTCTGGAGATGAGGTGGAAATAAGATATGCCAAGGAATCAAAGAATGGACGTGCAGGTTTGCAGGTGAAATCCATGGTACTGCTTTGCGGTTCATTACAGGATACACCTTTTTATGAAGTATCATGATGTAATGAATGAGTTCTTGGCCCTACAACTCTCCAAAGGGACTCAAACATCGGAGAGTGACAAATTAGACTAAGTGACTTTGAAATAGTCTCCAACCCTGAGAGAATAATTCTGGCTCAGTATAATGTCTTGACTTGTTTTAGAAGAAGTCGCAGTGTTGTGGATGAATACAGTAAGCAATGAGCTGAAAGGACCAAGAAAGTGAGAGTTAAAATTATAGAATCAAATGATCGTTTAGAAGACTAGACTCAGACATTCGTTATACAGTACACGTAAATAGATGTCATTGCTAATCACAGTTGAGAACTGTTATTTTCTAATGTTAGAAATTTGAGAGTTTTTCACTTAATTCGTAGACCTACCTAAGCCAAACAGTTTGGAATGAGAGATTTTTCTGTAACTCTTCATTTTTATTTAGTATTTTCAGTTTAGAATTTTTTTCTTTTTCATTCATTTTTCAGGGAGAGGGTGTCAAGACAGGGTTTGTCTGTGTAACAGCCCTGGCTGTCCTGGAACTTGCTTTGTAGACCAGGTTGGGCTTAAACTCACAGAGATCCTCCTGCCTCTGCTTCCGAGTGCTGGGATTAAAGGTGTGCGTTACCACTACCCAGCTCAGTTTATAACTTTTTGAATGGAAGAATCAACTCTCATGCATTGAAGATTGATGTGTATGTGCGTGTGTGCGTGCATGCATGTGTGCATGCATGGGTATGGGTGTGTGTATGTATGCGTGTGTCATTCTTTCTTGTTCTGCTTTCTCACTGTTGACTACACATCTGTCTTGCTGCAGTGCCTATTGTTTCTAAAGAGCTTTTAATTTGAGCAAAGGAAGGCATATAGATTTCATACTTTACTGTATTTTAATATCTCAAAAATGATGGAACTAATTTTTGAAACTTCTAAAGCCATCATTTTTGAAGAAATGGCAAATTGAAAAGTTGCAGGCAAGAATAACCATTAGATAGCGTGCGACTGTTAAGACTGCATTGGAATATCAGAAAGAGTTGTAATTTGACTCCACTTTCCATAGGTTCTCAGTTACAGCAAAGGCTTATTAGTTCTTTACCTAGACTTTTCTGATAATTCTGTTTCTCAAATATGTTTCTCTATGTGCAGTGACCTGGATTAGAGAAAGAAAAAAGAAAAAAATTGCATACATGATGTTTTGCAACATTTTAAAGATGTTATATGTATTAATTATCTAATAATATATCATAGTTACTTCATTTGAATGTATGTTTTTCTTATATAGAAGGCCACAGTTATAATTATAGAGCATGCTTAAAGCCAATATATGACTTTTATCAGAAGTTATTTTGCAGTGTTTAAGTCATATTGTGTATAATTGATGCTGTCTGTAATGTTTACAGTAAATTCTGGTATTGTACACCTAAATATCAATAATATAGCTTATTAGCAAAGAAAAATCTTTATAATTTTCCTTAAAAACTTAACTGATGAAGTCTTTAAAGAAATATTTCATAGCTAGAGGCAGTGGTGGCATTTGCCTTTAATCCCAGCACTCAGAAAGCAGAGGCAGGTGGATCTCTGAGTTCAAGACCAGCTTTGTCTACAGAGCAAGTTTCAGGACAGCCAGGGCTACATTTTATAATATAGAGAGAATGTTTGACCATATGTGTGAATAATAACATACTTTAACTGTTCTAATTACTAATTTTAGTATAATTTTAGATGGTAGTGCCTTTTGCTGGTATTTATTTAAAACTTTTTGGTTTTTTGTTTATTTGTTTGTTTGTTTGTTTTTCAAGACTGGGTTTCTTTGTGTAACAGCTCTGGCTGTCCTGAGACCAGGCTGGCCTCAAACAGAGATCCACCTGCCTCTGCCTCCCAAGTGCTGGGATTAAAGGTGTGCGCTGTCATGCCCAACTATTTGAAACTATTTTATATGAAATAATCTTGAAAATTTACTTCAATTTCTTAGTTATGCATTTCATTATTTTATTGGTTTTGATTGTTTGAGAAAGAGAACTCTGTGTGTGTGTGTGTGTTCACGTGTGCCCTCACTATGGCACTCGGAAGTCAGAAGACAATTTGAAGGGAAGGAGCAGGCTCTCTCCTTCCACATGGCATCCTGGGATTGGGCTGCGGTAATCAAGCATCATTACCTGCTGGTCCTTCTGACTTAACATTTTCTTGTTGCAATTGGGAATGTTAACCTTAGTAATTCCTTGTATTGCGTTCAAGTCTTAAACTGTATTCAATACTCTTAAAGAAGTCTTGCTGTACTTTATCTGTGTGTCCTCTAGGGGGCACCAAAAGATCTAATTGTCGGCATTGCTCTGCTGATTCCAGAGGCTATTGATCTGTTTTTACGCTAACAGGTGTGTGGAGAAATGCGCTTTCAGTTGAATAAAACGAAAATGGAGAAGGATGAAGCAGAAAAGGAGCACAGAGAATACAAAGCAAAATCTCAAAAGGATCTTGAAATTAAAGATCAGGTAAGAAAAGACATAAGCACAGCTATTAAGATATTAGTAACATGTTTTCTGAAGTTAGTGTGGTTTTATCCCTAAGCTATGTGTTTCTCTGGTATTGTTTCTAACTAATGTAAGGACCCAGTTCATACTATTAAAAGAATTTCATTTATAGTTGCCTGACATGAAGTGGTGAGAATACAACTGCTTGCATATGAAATTCCAATTTGACAGTTCATAAATATACATTTGGATATGTATCTATTACTTAGAAAAGTTTAAAAAATGTTCTAATGCACAGTTTGAACCTAAAATATACGTACATAAAGTTCTTGAAAGATGCCAACTTGCATCCAATTTTAAATGAAAAACTTTAAAATTTGTAAGATGAGATGAGTTGATATGTAAATATGTCAATCAAATTGATTGTTGGCAGAATGGAACCAGTTTTAACTAAGATAGCCATGAATACGTTTGCTCAGGAAGCCTAAATACAGCGAAATTAGAAATGTTAGGGAAAATGCTACTTGCTTCAATTTCAATTTTGAGCAGATGTTTTCTGTTAGAACTCTGTTGAGAGTGTATAGATACTGGAGTTTTAATTGACTGTGAAGAAGGCTTCTAAAGAGAAAGTTATGGCAGATTGACCCCTGACGCTCTATTTTTATGTTACAGGTCACTGAAGGTTTGCATTCCTTATAGCCAAGAAAGGCAGTGTATTCTATTAAAATAATAAGACTGAGGTATCAGTATCAATAATTAGAGATAGCCTTACAATTTAGAAGTAAGTTGCTCCAGATAATTTTACAACATATTTCTAATCAAGGCTTTCTATCATATTTTCGACATATTTTCCTTTTCACCCCGTCAGCTGTGATGACAAAGGACACAAAGGCAACTGGGAAAGTATTAAATAAGAAAGTGAGCATGAAGTTTGTGCAAAAAAAAAGTCACACCGTGCCTGGAGCCCTTAGGACTAAATTGAAACTCAGACAACTAGAATAAAGTAGTTTTTATACCACTAGATGCAGACGTTATGATGTGTTCTACATCTTAGGTCTAATGTTAATGTGTACATTCTTCATTCATCCAGTTGGGGGCGTACCTGATAGTGGAATGGAAAGTTCTTTCCATCAAGGAATGAAAGCCTGGGACTTTCCTTTCTGATGTCCTACAGGCTTTTACAGTTATGATGGCATACCCTGTAACATTAGTCAGTATCTTTTGAACTATTATACAGAACTCTAGAAAAAAACTCTAGGTGTTTTTGACTAATAGAACACAGAAGCAAAGAGTTTTGGAATGATTTAAAATTATATTATCATGTTTTAGTGATTTAAAAAAAAACCCTATGCTAACAAGAGGAGGATATCACTTGGAAATGAGTAACCTAGTTTAAAAGCATTTGTATTGTCTTGTTTTTTTTCGTTTTTTTTTTTTTTTTTTAGCTCACTAACTTCTTTTAAATGTACAAAGGCCAAAGTTGTAAGGAATGATTTTCCTTTTTCACTGTTTCCTGATGTCTGAAATATTAAGTTTCCCTGATGATCCTTAGTGATGCAGTGTAGATGGAGATGTGCCTTTGGGGAGGGCACAGTCGTTGGGAGTAAGCCTGTGGAGGGGCAGGAGACCTGTACTTGGTACCGTTTTTTCCCGGGACAGACTGTGAGGAGATCGTGTAGGTACTCTCTGTAACAGTTTCCGAAAGCGGTAGCTTCTCATTCCCTGGGTGATTTGGAGCAGCAGAGCAGCGATTGTTCTTTGGTCTTTCAGCCATGACCTGACCTTCTGTCTCTAAGACCGGAGAGCTATTTAGCTTGGCCACCATCTGCACCCAGGAGAGAAATTTACATTTAGCTTTGAAAAGCTGGCCATGGAGAGCATCTATCTGAAATACCTACAATGATATAAAGCATATTTAGTTTTAAAGCCTGATATATCACACAGTCATCGGAACCAGAAGCCTGTCTGTCTCTTGGTCTGCAAACAGGTGTTCCCCATAATATAGTCATTTTATTCATATTTTAGCTAATCTGGCCACTTGATGGGTTTTGAAAGTAGGTGGGAAACTGTGAGATTGGAATGTGGTGAGAACAAGAGCCTCTTTGATGTATACAAAACAGGGCAAATGGTTGACCACCAAAATGATTTTCCTCGTGACCTGAGCCTTGACTCTGGCGTAATTAGAAAGAAAGGTTAGAAGAGGAACAATGGCCGTCTCTTCCGCCCACTTTCTTCTTTCTTTTTATATTGTGTTAGGACCCATGGGTGAATTATCCTTCCCATCAACTCCTTTGTATCGCTCCAGCTTAGAGAACTGCTGTCAGTCTCGTGGGATGCTTCTGCACAAGAAAAACAAAAGGCATTCGGTGTGGAGATTGGGGGTTTGTGCCTTAATTTTTTTTTTTTTTTGTAAATATCAGATACACACACACAGCATCATGAGACTTTAAAAGCCTGTGAAACAAAGGGCATATTATAAGCAATCTGTGCCCTTCTAGTCCTTACGTTCATCATTGTGTCACTGCTGTTCCATAGAGTTCACAATTTTTCTCTTAACTTCACCCTCGTTGTCGTGTTTTTTCATCTTACCAATATCAATTTCCTCTTTCTCATTGTCTTCCTCTACCTCATCTCCTTTTGCAGAAATACTTAAAACAGATATCAGACATTATATTTATTATTTTACCTACAAATACTTTATTGTATTTCCATGAAGGAAAATTTCATATTATTATATTATCACACTGAGCAATATTAACAATAATTAGTAGCAAGTGTCACTCAGGCAAGGTTCACATTTCCTTATCTCAAAAATGTCTTGTAGTTGGTTTGTTCCAAATGCAAGGCAGATGTGTCTTTGTTTATTCAAATGCTAAGGTCCTTCCCTCATGAATCGGAGGTGAAAGGAACATTTAGTAAGAAACTCAACTGTCTTTATTATCTGTTAAATTTCCCATGGAAGGCTTTGCTTGTGCTCCATACTTCTAAAACATCTGGTTGCCCTCTACAGAGCTACGCCTTCATCCTCTGCCACACTATTGGAGCACGTAACCACCATGCGGCACTGATTTTCATCGCATTCAAGAAGGAGGCCAGAGACTCTGAAATGCAAGCTACATCATTTCAGAGTCCTGTATTTAAGATTTAGGAATTTTCAGGAGACCCTGGCATTGTTAGGTTAGCTGATCGGAAATGAAAGATACATTTGGGAATTTTCTTTGTCAATTTTGAATTTAATAGTTGAGTCTCAAAGATGTGCCTGTATAGCTCCTAACCTTTATCAGGGCCAGTGCAAGTAAGAATACAGGGCTTTTTGTTCAGAAGAGAGAAGCATGATGTTAAAGGTACTACAGTAAGAAGCTTTCTTTTCTTTTTTCTTTTCTCTTTATTCTTCAGTCTCTTGCACACCTCCTCCTCCTCTTTCTCCTCTGCTTCCTGCTCCCCATCATGGTATTTTAAATTTGTTATTTAATTTGGAACTATATTTAGCATAAGAATTAACAGAGTGGGTGTAGGTCCTCATATGTACCTGATAACTGAGGGTGCATATATACTCCATCAACTTCCAAATTTTCTTTGTTTATATGTGTGTGCATGTAAGTGTGTGTGTGTGTGTGTGTGTGTGTGTGTGTGTGTGTGTGTGTGTGTTTCTTCATGTGTATGCACATTCATGTGAAAGCCAGAGTATAACCTCAGATGTCATCCTTGGGAATGCCATCAACCTCCTTTGAGACAGGGTCACTGGTCTGAAGTTCACCAGTGAGTGCTAGATTGGCTCTCCAGCAAGCTCTCGGGCTCATCCTGTCTCTGGTCACTAGTGGGGGGATTACAAATGCCTTCCATGTCCTCCTCTTCCTCCCATATAGAACTCCAGTAGAAAGACATGAGTCCCATCTCAGAATAGAGGTAAACTGTGGCCCAGTCATCCCAGTTGACTCTGACCATTGTTGCTGAAGCTTTAGTCCAGATGGGGAGATGGTCCAAGAAACCAGAGCAGTTGAGGAAACTGTTTATTGGTAACCTGAGCTTTGAAACCACAGACAATAGCTTCAGAGAACCTTTGAGAAATGGGACACTTTTTCGGACTCTGTGGTGATGTGAGACCCTCAATAGAACAGTCAGTTGGCTTTGGTTTTATGACTGGCTCTTGTATTGAAGAAGTTGGAGAAGCAATTGTATCCTAGACTACACAAGGTTGATGGGCATGTGGTGGAACTAGAGAGAGCCATTTCTAGAGAGGAGTCTGTAAAGCCTGGTGCCCATTTAATAAAGAAGACATTTTTGTTGGTAGTATTAAAGAAAATACAGAAGAATACAATCCGAGAGACTACTTTGAAAAGTATGGGCGATTGAAACCATCCAAGTTCCGGGAGTCAAGCAGAGTGGGAAAAAGGGGATTAGCTTTGGTAAATTTTGGTGATCATGAGCTACCAACTGTCGATGGGCATAATTGTGACATGAAAAAGGCTGTTTCTAAACAAAAGATGCAGTCCACTGACCTCAGGTCAGGGAGGTGGGATGACAGCTTTATGGAGGACAGTTGAGATGTGGTAGAGGCAATATTGGTTTTGGTGGAAGGGGAGGCTATGGTGGCAGAGGTAGTTACCGAGGTTGATTTAATGCATTTAGAGGTGATGGTGACAGCTATGGTAGTGGTCCTGGTTATAGTAATAGAGGAGATTATGGTGATGGCAGACCAGGATATGGAAACCAAGGTGGTGGATGCAGTAGTGGAGGAGGAGGATATGATGGCTACTATGATGAAGGAGGAAATCATGGTGGAGATAACTGTGATGGCAGGAAGTACAAAGGTTTTGAAAATTATAGTGAACAACAGCAATCAAATTAGGGATCCGTGAAGGTGGGCAGTGTTGGTAGAGGCCACTCAGGCAATCCCTATGGTGATATCAGGCTGTGGATCTGGTGGAGGAAGTGGTGGATCTGGTAGCAGAAGGTTTAGCAAACAGCAGAAAAGGGCTCCAGTTCTTAGAGAAAGAAGAAGTTGTCAGGGGAGCAACAGG